CCCAGTGCTGATACGAGAGCTGAAGCAGATTGTTGGTGGAGGGGAAAATCTTCCGTGAGATCCTGCCTCCCACTGTCTTCAAAGGCCTCACATTGCCCTTCCCTTCTGGTTGCGAAGAACTGGCTGGGTAGCTCTCACCAGACCCCATCAACATTGTGCCTCAGTCAGCCAGAGAGAAATGGCTCAGATGAAGGACCCCCATCCAGAAGTTTGGTGTTTTCTCTGCAGTGCTCTCTAACACTGCCATTTCAGACAGCTGAGGGACCACACCTGAAACCCCCCTGGACTGGTCATTTAAACAGCTGGGCCAGGCCAGATTTTCTAGTAAAAAAGATTGTCTTCTCTTCTTGATGTCTCAGCTTGTCACGTGATTGCACCACAGACTTCTGTCTGCATTGTCTAGTAGCTGCAGACTGGGCCATGGCCCTGTAGGTCTAGTGACAGTGGGGTAGTTGTATTGTCTGATGGTTAGAGCATGGGAGGGAGAGTTGAACCTCCTGGATTCTGATCCTAGCTCAGTGTGTGGCCTTAGCCAACTCTCCCAACTACTCTGTGCATGTTTATCCATCTGTAAAATGGGAATAATATCTACTGCACAGGATGTTTGTAAGGCATGTTGAGATCATGGGATGAAGGCACTAGGCGAGGCAAACATCCTGTGTTTAGTAACGTCTAACAGTCTGAATAAGCTGCTCTGACACTACACATTCAGATCCAACCACCCAGGCACGTTTTTGTAGGCAAACAAAATTCTTCTCTCCCTTTGTAAAACAAGAAACATGCATCAGTTTCAGACAGAGATGCCGAAGGTAACAGTTGCAAAGGAAAGCATCCCAGGTAGGATTTACTGTAGTTAAACCACTTTGCCAAAGATTATAAATGGGGGAGGGCTAAGGGAATTGGATTAAGGATAGATTTAAAAGGAATTAATACAGTTGGGACCACTGCTGCAGAGTGCAGGCGATGCCAGCTAAACATTTCTCAACAGCCAATCAGTCTGACTGATAAAGAGCAACTTTGTTTTCTGTAGTAAAGGCTCTTCCCCCCTCACCCCCTCTCACCTGTTAAGTGAGCAAGGAATGTATTGTACCAAGAGGCCAACTAGACTGCATGTACCACACCACGGGTCACCCACCCACCTTTCTGGACCATTGAGTTGGGATTGTGGCCTATAGAGCCAAACTAAAATGTTCTCACCTAAACATAATCTGTTTTTTTCTACGCGATTTGAACACATTGTTTCTACATAGGTACTACCCTGGCCTCTGAAGAAGGCTCCTCACCATGGAAATATTTATGCTTTATAAGCATTTACTATGTAAATGTATTTACTTCCGACACTTCATTTATCACATTTTTTCGCCCCCTTTTAATTCTCTAGGGAAGTTTGAGTGTGAATTTATGCAACTCCAAAGTCACCTTGGAGCTCCAATCCACACCCTACCAGAAGAAGTACATCCTTCATCACTCACATCCACCCATACCGTGATTACATTACAATGCTCCCTTTGTTAGTACAGAATGTACCGGCTCCTTCCCAGGCAGCCCGACAAATTAGTGAAGGAAGGATGAAAGAAAAAGGTTGTGGACCAAATTCATCCAAAGGCCTTACACTATGGATGAATTTGGAGTCGGACCTGCATATTTAGTAGTAGAGGCAGAAACATGAACCAGCCTGAAGATTTTAAGTTCACTGGGGCAGGGACCATCTTCCCTGTATATCTGTACAACATCTAACACATTCTGGATGCTACTTTAGTAGCAATCATGCTTTAACAACATCCTCCCTTCCTCAGGAAAATCAGTTTTTGAGAACAGCCGGTGCATGAGCTTAGACAGACAAGGCACTAGTATAAAAAGGTGTCCTCATTATCAAACAGTACATCCCACCCCAGAAAAATCTTGTGCAGGTGCATGCACATGACACTAGATACAAAGAGCTATTCTGCCGTGCCTACCAACTCAGAGTTTGTGCTCCATTACACTTTCCAAGAGAGTCAAAATGGGGCACTAATTTACTAATTGCTGTGGCTAATACAATTCCAGCACCACACTCCATATTATTGCAGGAACATGTTCACCTGTCTGGTCACCAGTACAGCTGCTTCTTCACATGCCAGTGGCTGAAAATGCAGTCACCTGCTTCCGTGTGTTGTGCTTGTCGTCATGAGGTAGGAGAGATGAAGAGTAGACCAGACCAGGTCCAAGCAGATGTATTGGAATGATCTGATGTAAGAGTAAAGATCAGAGACAGCAGTAACCCGAGACCATTACATCCCCAAACCTCCATCCACTTGCAAAACCTCTCTTCCCCACAGTAGCAAATCTAGGGTAAGACCTTCCATAACCATTACTCTGTTACTAGCTGCATATAAGCATCTAGCTTTGAGAAGACACATTGCTCCCCTCAGACCTGCACTTCAGATCAGTAATATCAGGAAGAGCTAGTTTTGGAAAGCCTGTCCCACCTGCCAGATTGAAAAAGCCAGTGAACCTGTGCCACTGGGGACAAATAAGGGGAACAGGATTTCTTCCAGCTGCATCTGGAGTCCAAGAATCCAGAGCATTACAACCCATCCTGAATCTCAGAGACCTCAACCAATAGGTTACAAAATAGGAGTTTTAAACACTGTCAGAATAATCCTGTTCTTGTAAGAAGGTAGACGACTTATATGCTCTGGATCTGAGGGCCACTTATATGCTTCTAAGGATGAATCCATATGGGGTGACCAGATAGCAAGTGTGAAAAATAGGGACAGGGTATGGGGTAATGGGTGCCTCTACAAGACAACGCCCCAAATATTGGGACTGTCCCTATGAAATCAAGACATCTGGTCACCCTAAATCCATATGGGATAAGAATCTGGGTGTCGTTCCCATGTCTGGATAGATGGCTGATCAAGGAAAGCGCACAGAGGAATTCAAGGGTCTGAATGCAGAATTTGTCATACCAGATCAGCTACTTGTCTGTCAAGTGAAGCTCATTACAATTCAGACTACCCAAAATAAAACAGCTTTTTCCTAAGAAGATAGACTATGTAGGAGCCCTGCTAAACTGATCTCAGACAGAAGCCCTCCTTCTCTATTGAATAGTTTGAAGTATTTTGGAAGACCAAACCGAGTCCCTTAGCATCAGGGGTCTTTGATGAAAATGTTGGATCTCACAGTTGCAATGGTTTTCATAGGCACCCCTGGCACGTCTTCTTTTGGCATCCTCAAAGGGCATTTGCCAAATCGCAGAGACTCTGGAATCAATAGTCTAACACATGGACTCTTGGGAGAAGCACTGGCTACATGGGAGTCCAAGAGAACATTCAGAATCAATTTCCCAATTCTTACTCAATATTGTAGTAACCATATAGATGAATCTACCCTAAGCTTAGGAGACAGAGAAAGGTCGCACAGCCAGCGTACTTGGTCACACCAGGAATCCAACCACCACAGAAGTATCTAGGAATTGTAAATCTTGCTTGTATTTCAGGTTTTCAGAGAACAGTAAGCAATTTAAAAAGGATCAGATGTTTTAATTGGGGGTGGGGGAGGGAGATGTAAAGGGAAATGGATGCATGGGGAGAAGGAGAGTATTGAAAGTGCACTTCCTCCTTTAGAGCAAAGGTTCTCCCCAAAAACTCAGGAGAAAAAAATACATTACATAGGATCTTTATAGGTCCCCAGTGGTTAGGGCAAAATCGGGTTCCTACCACTACTGGAGATGGCAATGGCAGATAATATCCAGCTAAGAGATGTGCAGTGTCTGATCACACAGACCCAGGGCATTCCAGTGCGTGAGCTTTACTGTCAGGATCAAGACTGACTAGCTTAGTATCTATGGCATAACATTCCACTATTCAAGACGCTTGAAAGGGGTCTACCAGACGAGTGTAATTTAAAATGGGGGAAGTATTGTAGGGGGTGGTGCAAAGGGGTAGCCAGTGCACATCCTTTTAATTTGTTCCCCACCAACTTGATTACTCCCAGATCGGTCACATTCTGGGTAACGCCCAGACACCTGGGGAGCATTTTTGGTATTTTGCTATTCTATGATTTTAAACTCTGAAAATTAACCAATATTTCTGCCTCTCTCCTTGCTCAAATGATAGGTTCCAGAGATCATGATCATAGTGGTGGGAGGGCTTTTTTGGTGGGGGGGAATAGAGTGATTGAGGTTGTTTAGCATTATCTTGTTCAAATAGCCATTAAAATGAAAGAAAGTTTTCTTCAAGTACCTAGAGGCTAGGATATTCTGATCCTAGTCATTCACAGAAACATGGAAGCAGGGCAAGAAATGAGATAATCACTACTTCCCAGAAAAATTACTGCTAAATAGTTTTCTTGTATGTAGTGAGGGGCCAGGCACATGACCATGATCTCTGGGTGTCTCAAGAAAGCCAATGTCTCACCCAGATCTGAGTGTACAGAGTGCTATGAAACAAGAACACAATTAAAAAGCTCCCCACTGTGTCCATCTAAAGACAGGAGCCAGGGTGAGTTCAGGTTTGTGCTCAGAGAAATGAACAAAGAGGGTGCCTAGCAAGGATAGCAAGCATGTCGTGTTTAATACTGAATGAGCAGCATATGACTTCTATATTCGGGGGGGGGGGGGGAAATCAGGTATGTGGGGCTTCTCAGAGGCCATTAATCACACTGTTCTCAGTGCCTCTGGTAGGGAGTCTCACAAAGCTTCTTATGAAATTGATCAGGAAGTGTGCCAAACTGACAAACAGCAACATGTCGCCTCTTTCTGGTCGGGATGGGGATTTGTTGTAAGTGTTCGCAAGAGTTAGGAAGTGAGAACACCGAGGAGAAACAGGCATACACAGCAGGCAAGGACTGTGTAGGCCCAGCTCTTCAGAACTAATTACTAGGAAAACAACTGCAACAACACTATTACACCTGTAACTGGGAACGATATATAAAAGGAGGAAGAGTTCTGTTTGGTGAACTTTATGATTTTAGAACGGTGGGGTGGAGTGGAATAAAGCAAACAAAAGAATTCCACATGAGTTCACCAAAAATAATGATTTATTCAGATGACATTGATTTGACATTATCAGAATCAAAACATTTCTCATCGCCACTGCTTGAGGAAATACACCAGCCAAAGGGTCTGGTGTAAAAATAAATATATTAAGACTTGGGTGGAATGCACAGCCAATCAAGTATTAGCAATAAATATGCCGTGCTCCAAAATACCCTCTGAACAGTTGCACATACTCTGTCGCTTAGTGTGCAGATGGAGTTTGCAACCAATTTGACATGAAGTGATTTGCTCTGAAGGCTGCAATCTTCATTTCTGTCAGAACTTACTTGGCACCTCGACAGTCAACCAAAGCCTGGAATCCAAAACCTCCATTCTCAGACACATGAACAACAGACTGGGCAAACAGTGCCACCACAATTTCAACATGAATTTCAAGGAGTTCGCATCCATTTGGAAATGGACTAAGGACTGGTTTGGGATCTGAATACTAAGCTAAGTGCCCCAATGAGTTGAGGGCACAAGGGTAGGTCCCCGAACAGCATCTCCTCAGGATCATCCCGAATTAAAATGGCAAAAATTGGAATAAGGGTGGGAAGAGGAGACAATAACATGGGTCCCTTATATGATTAACTGTGCCTTCTCCCCAACCACTGGACTGTCTGAAGGTTAACTAAAAGCAGAGAGGACGAGATCTAAAAGCAGAAAACATCTCAGACAAAGAAGGAGGACTTTCAGAAACCATAGAAGAAATAGAGCAACCATGTTTTCCCAGTAAGCGAAGCTGTGAAAACAGTTGGCACTGCAGGATCAGCAAACAATCTCTGAGCAACAATTCAATACAATAAGGCACTAACAATTTCCCACATTAATCACATGATTAAACATTTACATTCAGACATTTAAAAAAAACCCACTGTACACTAAGTTTAAAAAAAAGGCAGTTTTTCTATTTTAAAAAGTTCCTTTTTTTTCAAATTCTCAGTTACCTAAGAATTTTTCCATCCAGGCAGCAACAATTGATTGGATTGAATATTTGATCAGAAATCTTGTTGGTTAAAAAGTGTCTATGTGAATACAAGAAAAGTCACCCGTGGCAACAGACAGAAAAAAATATAAAAAGCAGCTGAGAGGTTGTAAAATGATTCAAATAACTTCATTAACCAACATGTGACAGATGTTAGTCATTTGCTTAATGCACTATGGGAAGGTGCTCAGATGCAACGGTGTTAAGCATAGAATAGAATTACATACTTTTGTAGCTGGCTTACATCTATTTTTCTTATGAGTTATCAGACTGACAGCCCTGGAGCCTGAAGGTTTCTGTCTGTCCATCATGTCAATAAAGCCTGGGCAATGCAGTGTCAGCTTCGTCACACTACCCCACTAATATGCCTCAATCCTAACCCAGAAGCATCACATATAAAGGCAGAGGAATAGTTCAGACTCACTTCATTCAATCCTGGGTCTGCTGTGCTGAGGAAGGATAAATGGCCAAGTGTCCACAGAGAACAGGACCGATGACACCAGCTTCTTTCAAGGAGTGTCACCCAAATAGCCATCAAATGCAGAGAGCAATGACTTCAGGTCACAACTGATCTGACAGCCAACTGGTAAAAGAATCTGTATCCCAGTCCCAATCCTCAAAGCCATTTAAGTGGCCGCTGTTAGATCTATAAAGTTTATTGCAATCCTTGAAAATTAGTGTTAAAAGATGATTATCCCCCCTATTCTACAGTATTTGGCTACTTAAATATTCAGAAATCGCAGGGTTTCGCAACAACAATAATAAATAGATCAAGCATGGAGTTAGCTTCTGATGGAGAAATTATCTGTATATGGGAGGGTTATTAACCGAGGATAGTGGAGATTAATCTGTGTATAGATTTAGCAAAGGTATTTTCAGGACACCTGGACAGCACAAATGCATCCGATTCCAAAGAAACTTTTTGCCCATTCTTCTAAACCAAAGCAAGAAAGAACTTCAGAATATTCATGAAGTGGGCTGTACGGTTTCCCCAGCATAACGAGGTCTCACCATTCACTGTAAGATTGACTCCCCATCTTCAGTTTTCAATATCTGACACTTGTCAGGACATCCAGAAATAATCAGTAAAGGTTATGGCAATGGGACCACAAACCAGGAGGAAAGAGCGCACTTGCTGACTTGAAAGGCTCCGGTGGGACTAGAGCCAAACTGATTAATTCCTCTATCTTGGAACAGCAGCTCCATGTTGCAGATGGCCTCAATCCATTTGGGTATTTGGTATTCCAACAGCAAGTTCTCAAAGGCTGTTCTGCAAAACCTTGTGGCACATTCTGAATTAGTCCAAACTTGCAGGGCAGGAGGGGGAGAAAAGAAAACAAACATAAACCTCCCAGAATTTTGATTTGTCTCCCAGTTGTTGATTTTCCTTGGACAGTCCCGCTGAAGGGAAGTGGCAGTCACCCAGTCCGCATACGCAAGCGTCTCTCATACAGGAGCAATCTAATTTCCCTCACTAGTAAGGGTGAGATGAACAGGATTGTTGAACTTGTCTGTGGAAAGAAACAACATGACGGACAATTAGCACATGTACATGCCGCTGCATCTTCCCTCCAACACATTTTAGAGGCATTTGTAAGCACAGAAAGCTGGAAGTGAAACAGGAAAGTCAAAGTTTGCCTATCAGAAGGACAAAAGCGGGCTGTAGACTTTCAGGAAAGTTTCTGAATAAGCTAAGACTCTTCCCTCTACTCAATGGCTTTGCACTGCTCTCTCTGGAGCCTATCAAATAGCTTGTTCAGTTGTTCAAAAAGGAATCACAGAACAAAGCAAGGCATCACCCCAGCCCTAGCCCTAAAGGAGAAGCAGGTGGATTATGCAACACTCCCAGCCAATACCAACCTGAGCAGCTCATGGTGTGAACTCTGATCTCCTAGACAGAAGCACTGTGCTTCCACCATACCGGGCCAGCCCTATAGAACATTTTCATTTTGGTCCCTCCATGTTTGATCATCCCTCCCACCAACCCAAAAGAAAGGACTGCACAAATTACCAGCTCAACTGCGTGCAGATGTGGTCGCCCCGTCTCAAAAAAGATATATTGGAATTGGAAAAGGTTCAGAAAAGGGCAACAAAAATGATTAGGGGTATGAGATGGCTTCCGTATGAGGAGAGTTTAATAAGGCTGGGACTTTTCAGCTTGGAAAACAGGCGACTAAGGGGGGATATGATAGAGGTCTATAAAATCATGAGTAATGTGGAGAAAGTAAATAAGGAAGTGTTATTTCCTCCTTCCAATAACAGAAGAACAAGGGGCCACCAAAGGAAATTAATAGGTAGCAGGTTTAAAACAAACACTAGAAAGTATTTTTTCACGCAACGCACTGTCAACCTCTGGAACTCCTTGCCAGAGGATGTTGTGAAGGCCAATACTATAACAATGTTCAAAAGGGAGCTAGATAGATTCATTGAAGATAGCTATTGATGGACCTATTAGCCAGGATGTGCAGGAATGGTGTCCCTAGCCTTTCTTTGCCAGAAGCTGGGACTGGATGACAGAGCATGGATCACTTGATGATAACCTGTTTGTTCATTCCCTTTGGGGCACCTGCCATTGGCCACTGTCAGAGGACAGGATAGTGGGCTTGATGGACCTTTGGTCTGACCTAGTATGGTCGTTCTTATGTTACATCAGCTCCTTAGAAACACTGGAAGCCATGTGACAATGCACTTGCACACAGTGGAGTTGGCGGGGGCAGAACCTTAACTTGGAAATTAGAGTGAAATTCAACCAAAATGAATATTGCACACCAGATACAAGAATTTTTAAAGGGGCAATGTCAAGTGCTTCACTTTCTATCACTTAGAAAACCTGCTTTAAAAATCTATTCTTGTTCATTTGGCAATAATAATTCAACATCCGTTTTTTGATTGGTGGAAGGAACTGATATTACCATGGCTGATTTAGATCACTTCCTGGTGTGCCCCAGCCATACACCAGCTCTGGGAACAGCATTATAATTAATGGCTGTGGCAGAAACAGTTTAAGGTGCGAAAGTCATTAAAGCTCTCACAAAAAAGTCCTATTATTTATTTGCTTATTATTCTAGGGTTCAGAAATTCTTTTCAGCTGCAGACTCAACATGGGAGAAAAAGCTAAAGAAGAAAAAGACCTCTTACCATAAGAATGAAGAAATAGAAAACCCACATCCATCCCAGATTGTCCTGGATCAAAGAAACTAGATACTGTAAAGAAACAAAATACAATATTTAGATCATCAACACGTGCGCAACTGTGAGGGGTGTTTTTCTGGTGTCACCCTTTCATTTGCATCTCCCTGAGTTTGTGAACCTTTATCGAAGAGGGGAAGGAAGAAAAAGAAAAAGAAAAAAGCCAATCACAAATTCTCTCTTTCAGTATCTAGTGGCTCTTTGCCTGGCATAATGGGAGACTTGCTGCCTTAATCCTTCTATATAAATCCATACAAGATAGGTGAAATAGAGATACCAGCCTGAAGCTTTATAGGTAACGATGTTCAGTGAGGAGAAAAACTAATTACAGCTTCAAGGGGTGACAATTTGACTAGACTGAACAGAGGATTTTATTGCACAGAACATACAATTACGTAAGTGAATGTAAAAACCCTCAGAAAAGCTGAACACTCTACGAAGATGTACAACTTAAAAAGGACATGCATTTTCAGCAGCTATACAAGCATTAGATAGTTAACCCTTTCCAACACCCTGTTATGCAGATAAGATGCTCAAGCTTCTGCACTGATTTACATCCTGAGCTTAACAGGGCATTGCAAGCTTCAAGTAAAGGCAGAAATTATTCCTTATATGCAGTATTTGAATACAATTCTGTTTAAAGCTCCTCTGTACCTCTCTATTACTGAGCACATTGGCACAAAAACAGGATCTTCATTTTGGAAGCGCTCCTGGTGCTTCTGCTGCTTATTCCCCCACCTGGAGTGACACTGCAGCCATTCCCATTGATATGACTGCAAGTCCAGATAGGGAAGCAGTGACAGGCAGAACTTTTCAGAAAGAAACCCACTTTCCATGATACTCTCCTTAAGAAGTGTGGAAAGGGGAATATGCAGGAAGCATGGTACACTGGGAAATTTGTTTCCAAATAAGATTTGAAAGGTGTTAGCAGCCTGTTAAAAGTGGAAAACTAAGACAGCATCTCTCAGAGAGAAAGAATGAACATTTCATTTACTGGGGAGAACCACCTCAGTCAGTAGTTAACAAGTTCTTCTCTGCCTGCAATCAGCACTGCTGATATTCACAGGAATATTCCCACAAGTGCCAATTATGAACCCTAATTCCTTTGGGAAATGGGGGTGTGGACTCCACTCCAACATACATCTTGGTATTCCATGATGTTACACTCTCTCTAGTAGTATGGGGCCAGTTACATCACAGGCCCTGTCCAACCCAAAAATCAGCACTATGTTCTTTCATGTGCATGAATTTTGTTCCTGCATAACAAGTATGTTCCTATTGCCAATGCCCTCAGCTTCTGTTCAGTAACAATCCGTGGTCAATTCCTACAACGGCAAACAGCATGGAAGATGAAAGCAAGTGATACCAGTCTTACAGGATGTGAAGTCTGCCCTAGGTAAAGAGAATCACACTCAAACTAGTCTAACATAACAAATTCTTATGTTCTATGTAAAGAGGACATTCATCTTAAAAACAATATTTCATAAATACATTTCTTCACCAGGGCAGCTAACACCACCTTATTTAAAAACTGAAAATAATTTAAAAATCCAATTTTCTTTTCACTATTTATGGAGTGCAAATGTTTTCCATATCTCAACAGCTCAGGTTATGGAAGTGTCTAAACCCCATTTCATTCTCAAAGTTTGTTGCCACAATATTTGCATTACAAACTCTGCAGAGAAGGTTTGTTTGTTAAAAAACACTGTTTCCACTGGAAATAAAAAAAAAAGATGAATGGAAATGTTTCAGCTGGGGTTGGAAGCTTTTTTCCCAGCCCCCATGTCACTCCCACGTAGAATTTTAAAGGAACATTCCCTAATTCCTCAGTTCCTCTCTCGTAATCTCACCTGGCCCACTGCAGCTCCAATGCTCCCAGTTCCGTCCACAATTCCTGTGACTGTTGCCAGAGCCTCACTGTTTCCTTTGACCAATTCTTGACGTCCCAGGTCAGCGGAAATCGCAGAGCTGATCATGTTAGATGGGCCTCCAATGAAAAATCCTGAAAGCACCAAAAGACCATCTTCCAATGATAGCACTGCAAAGAGGCTGCCATTGGCGCAACCCGAGAGTTTCACAGGGCTGGGATTTTCTGCCACCCAAATGTCAAGGGCTGGGGATGTTCTGGAAATCTCAGTTATGGGAACAGGTTGCAGTAAGGGGAAGAATGCTTCGCTCCCAGAGGGTTTAGTTATCCCTCACAGCGGTTGTGATGTGCTTCTCTGTGCGTCTAAGTGAGGAAGTTGGGGGAAATTCCCAGAAGCCCCTAAAATATGCGTGTTTGAAACCAAGAACCCTCACTCATGCTGGTTAATATAGAGTCCACATCATGGGGTGCTGCCAGGGAAGCTCCCAGGTATGCACCTTTAGTAGCAGAGGAAGCTTACAGCTTCTCGTAGTATAAAGAACGCAAGAGACGCTTGCCATCTGAGCTATTCTAGTTTGCAGCATAATTCCTTATTCTACACCTCTGTTTCTGAAAGCTTCTTAAAACAGTGTTCTTTTAAAATAAAAAAAAATTAAAAAAAAAAAAAGTTGGGCCTTCATGGTCACTCCTGTTGCAGCCATGGCATTTGGCTGAGAAGGCAGCACACCTGAATACATTAACAAGGTTTTACAGCAGTGTTATTGTTTCTTTTCTGTCTACACAGCTATTGGGGTGAAAGTGGCGTTTATATGACGTACCTGTAATGGCCATGATGAACGCGTTGATGGGTTTGCTGTTTGGAGAACCTGCCAGGGGGCAGACAGAAAAGAGGAGTGTTGTTAAAATAAGAAATAATTATATCTAGCTCTTATGCAGAATTTTTCATGTGTAGATCTCAAAGCACTTTAGAAAGGAGATCAGCTTCATCATCCCCCATTTTACAGATGGGAAGACGGAGGCAAAGAATGATCAAGTAACCTGCCAAAGGTCACCCAATTAAAGGATTCCCTTGGTGCGGCCAGAGAGCATACATGGAGATGTGAGATCTTCAACCTTATGATGGCTCCCAAGTCCACTGTTTTGCTGAGCCTAGATGTGTCCTTTAATTAGTTGTCCTAACAGACTGTTTCCAAATCCCATTGGTTGCCAGATGCTAGAGTGCTTCTGTAAATGGTGTGAAGTCTAAGAGCTTCTGACTTCTCATCCTTTCCTAGATCATCTCTCACTCTTTGCCCTCCCCCACCCAACCCATTGGCTTTTCCTTTTTCAAGATGTTCGCACCTTTGCGTTACTGCTTTACGGTTGTAACTCTGACATGTTGGCAATGCTAGAAATGCAGCCAAAGGAGCACATCTAATACCAGCTTCCTCACTGGCACAAAGAAACCCAAGCACTCAGCCCACATCTTTCCCCATCGTTAACCAGAATCTGAAGAAAGACTTCTTCCCAGATGCCATGATCTCTTGGCACAATACAACCGTGCAGAGTGTGACTGGCCCAGAAATATACTCTGAAGGGCAATATCCTGAACCAGAAACAGGTTCAAGGCATAGAAACTGGCAAGTGTCCATCCATCTGGCCCAAAAAGTCCCCCCCCTTGCCCACAATAATGCAAAATATACTCACGACTGTATCCAAAGAGAGACCCAATAGCCAGAAGCAAGCTGATCACTAGCACTGGAGCTCGCTTCTGTAGCATATCGGAAATCAAGCCTTGGATTGTCCCACCTGCAAAAATAAAATGAAAGCTCATCGTGCCCTTCCAATTAACATATGGAACACACACACTGCTGCACTTACTGAATTTTGTTCTTTTATCTTTACCTCCGGCATCTCTATTGTGGACAAAACTCTCACTGCTGCCTGAGACACAGTCAAGGCAATATCAAATCAGGGTACTCAGGACACAGTAGCGAGGATCGATTACTATGTCTCGCTCTCTCTGCGTGTAGCCAGTCAGTGCTTCTGCTGTTTGTTCCTTTCCCCACACACTCTTCCTGTAATCTCAGTTCAGGTCTGCGCAATGTAACACATCGTGGCTGTCTCCTAGAGTTTCCTACTGTTCCTATTAATGGCTCTGCTCCGCTGGTGGAAGCACTAGCACATAACCGATTCTAGGCACCCCAGTGACACTTTTAACACTTTGTTGTCTAACCCTGCTCAGAGCAGATCTAACATCACAAGGGTTACAATGCTGGCAGCTTTGTCTACATTAGCATGCCCATCATTGCAATCACCAGTGGAGCTGCACTGCCGATAATGCATTAGGGAATAGTCCTAGTATAAACAAGGCCATAGAGGCAGCAAAGCAGACCCAGAACAGATCAGAACAGGAGTGTTTTGCAGGAAAGCAGAGTGGACTACTTACCCAGCCAAGAAACAGTGAACATGGGAGAGCAGAGCTCAAGCCATAAAGAGAGGCTTTCTTTGTTCTGGCTAGGAGGCACAGGTACAGATTTTACCACTGGCATAAACAAGCACAACTACACTTGGCTCCATTGAAGACAATGGAGTTGTGCCCGCTCACCCCAGCTGAACTGAGCCCTTTGTTTGCAGCAACGTGGGGACGGTTGCTAGGGTAGAGTGTACCCCTAATCTAGGCCTACCCTCTCGCTTAGGGATTCCAGTGGGAAGTAGGAAAGGAAACCTGGGGGACATCTGACTGAGTGGGATACTCTCGTGTTCATAGCAAGTGACGAAAAACTCTTATTGCTGAAGTGTACTAATAGGGTAGTATCCCTTTAAACAGTCTGTGAGCTCTCTAGAGGTACTCACTACTCCTATGTTTTACAATGCAGCCAGAGCAGCAGTGTACGTAACCGGGCCTTGCATGCTGGGCACATTCAGTAAACTGGGCCCATGTGGTTCCTTCATGTTAAAGAGCAAGAGACCTAAGAGCTGGGCAACCAAAAAAAGAAGTTGTTTGCTTGCTGTACCTACCTATGATTCCTCCCACATCGTACCAAATTGAAAGCTGGTCAGCTTCAGCCTCCTTCCATCCAAAGTTGTTGCTGAGGTAGAACGGCAGCCAGAAGAAGAAGGAGTAATTCACTAGTTTCAAGCAGGCATAGGCCAGGGAATACTAAGACAAAAATAGCCAAAAAACCAGCAAGCAGTTAGCATTAGAAAAACACAAGCAGCAACTCCTCCTCCTTCCAATAAGCCCCCAGCTGAAGCTCCCATAGTAAGTGCTTCTGCATTTCACATGAGAATGCAATGTCAGGAAAGCCCAATGCTGAACATCAAAGGGACAGATTGGGGGGAGGAGAAAAATCAACCAGGATGTCTATTTTTAGTGTTCTTTTCATTGGACACAATAGGTTGAAACACCAATTCTTCCAGCAGCTTCACTTGAAGCACAAGCTTCTAAAGAGGAAAACAATCAGTTCATCTCCTAGATCGGAAGAAGTTAACCATGTGACACTAAGCAAGCCAGGGGCCCTTAATTATTTGTGCACTATGTTGAGAAAGACTATGGCAAGGACATTTTATCTGCATCACTGTGTGCCATTCAGAATACTGCTACATACTCAAAGCACCCTACAAAGAACTCCTCGTAATACCCAAATGTTTGTATCCCAGAGCTCAAGACACAAGCTTTAGGCATGCTTGAGAGCACCACGTCTCTCTACAGCTGAGACTGTTTGTGGTGCTCTTGCGATAGTTCTGGGGAGTGAACCTGCCTTAGCTTGTAGGAGGGCTCTCTCAGTGGAAATACCTCCCGTCGGGCAGCCCAGAGAACTGGTTCAGCCGCTGTCAGGGTAGGCGTAAGGTATGCTTATTTTGTCAGGTCTTTGGCTGACCATCACTGTCACAGTAGAAGGGAGCCATGTTTGCAGAGTTCCAGCGCTGAGTGGCAAGTGCCGTAGCTTTTTAAGGTACCCAAGAGGATAGATTGTGGATGTGTAATTATTGGCTTGTTTTAATATGGTAAGAGACATAGATGATACAGTGATTAGTGCCAAAGACATTTTGATATAAAATAAATACCTCCGAACACACAGATTTCTTCAGCAGGCGTTTGATTAGCAAGTGGAATAATGGAGGCTTGCCTCCCTTTAAGCCTCCTGTCTTAGAGGGCCCAACACTACCTGCCTCATGGGCAGATTCCCACTGAAGTCAGCAAAAGTTCTTCAGGAAGAGCAGGACTGGTCCTTACTGAGCCCACTGCTTATCATTACAAAGCACTTCAGAATGGTCTACTGGATTGCTTGAGAGATTAGCCATTCTTAATCTTCAGAGACCCGAGAGGAAGGCTGTCAGTGTAAAGACAGTTCCATTGCACTTGTTCAGTTGGAGAAGGGGAAAAAACTGAGGAAAACCAGAGTAGGAATATAGTTGATTTGCTTTATAAGTGTATCTATCTCTTGGAAGTTATCCTTGTTTGTATTCAGGGATCCACATTCACTTTCCAGTCTCACATCCAAGCTGCTCACAAGGCCCCATTAGTACACTGAAGTAATTCTGGAACACCACAGGATAGATGATCGATTTGATCTTCCAGTCCTTTGCCCTGGCCACGCAGGATTGTTCCTCCAATGTATTTGTTAGCGCTCTGACCAACCTAATTTTATAGGGCTCAAGTGAGGGGACTTCCACTACTTCCTTGGAGAGTTATTCCACCATCAGAAACTTTTTTCTAATATTCAGCTTCCATTTCATTCACCGTTTTATCCCATTTCTCCCAGAACGTCCCCCCGCCCCACCAAAAAATTAGTCCTGTATGGCCTTTACACAGCTCAAGGTGGTTATGTTCCCCTTAGTCATCACTTCACCAAGCTGTATACATGGAATTCCTCAGTGACTGAGGTGTCTGTACAGCACTCCGTCCAATGGCAGCCCTACTCTCACTGTGGCTGTCCGTTAGGTGCTACCGTAAGCATAGGCAGTGCTGCCAGACCCACCTATTATTAAGGTCATCAAACATGTCTCAGTATAAAACCCTGTCTTCAGTTGTTTATAACTTTACCAAACTTTAACATTGGGAGTGAAGTTTTCCATGCCAGGTGTGCCCCCCAGGTTAGTGGGGTTTTGCCTTTAAGTTTAAGCCAAAATTGTTTAGCCATTTCTGAGAACAAGGTTCTTTTGCCCATTGTCATGGGGCAGGGTTCCTTCACCCTAGATTCCTGTCTGCAAACAGTCCTCACACACAGCTAGTGACAAGTCCAACTAAAAGGGCTCTAGTCACACTGTAAATAAACCAGAACAAGTTCCCCACATCTAAGGGTTCATACATTCTCCCTAGGCACAGGGTGAGAGGGAAGAGATCTTGGGCTTCTCTGGCCCTTCCAGCTTACCCCTCCCCTCTTCCTGTCTGGCTTTTAGCTATCCCCAGCCGGTGTGCTGAGCCACCTGGTTAACTGATTAATCATTCAGTCCTTAACCAATTACACCTCTATCCCGATATAACGCTGTCCTCAGGAGCCAAAAAAATCTTACTGCGTTATATCGAACTTGCTTTGATCCGCCAGAGTGCGCAGCCCCCCCCCCCGGATCACTGCTTTACCGCGTTATATCCAATTTCGTGTTATGTCGGGTCGCATTATATCGGGGTAGAGGTGTATCTCCCTAATTTGTCCCATGTGGGGATGTTTACCAAGTGCCCAGAGTGGTGAGTCAGCTTAAGGCTACTCTCACACTGTCCTTCCCATGTTAGAAACATTTCTGACTATTTCTTTGAAAAGTTTAGTGCCCCACACTTGGAACAGGAAGTTGATGCTTCACAGAGGGGGGCACTTGTGTCAGGATCAGGGATGGCCCTTTTGCTATTCCTGTGAATATCTGCCATGTTATAAGCCTGGGGAGGGGGTCCATGTTTGTACCTGCCTTTCAATGTTAGCAGCCACTGCTCCAGCCCCCGACAAGTCCCAGCATTGACCAGACTACACATGTGCCATCCCCACAGAGCAATGGAACATGCTGCACCTCCTCACAACTCCTGTGTGTGACTGGATTGTGCATGCTACAGCCCAGGGGTAGAGAGGCAAAGCCAGACATTCCTTACAGTTGCGGCTCCCAGCTGCTCCAGGTTAGGGCTAGGCACCAGAACAGGGCAGGGAGCCCCTCTTTCTTGTGCTCTCAAGAACCACCCTGCTGGCGCCAATGCAGCATGGAGGAGGAAGCTGCCTGACTCAAATGCAGAGGGGACAAGAGCTGACCCTGTAGAAGGGAAAGGAGCCTGGTGAGATTGGGACAAGGAGGAAGAGAAAAAACTTTGACTGGGAGCTGTGGGAGTGGAGTACTGGCTGGGGTGGAGGACAGGCAGGGACTGGTGGAGGAAGAAGACTGGGAGTCATTTGGGAGGGGTTGGATGTGTGGAACACTGAGGCCAGGTCTAAGCTGGTATACATCGGTATAGCTACGTCACTCAAGAGTGGGAAAAATCCACAACCCCAAGAGACATAGCTACGAAGACCTCACCGCCGGTGTAGATGGAAGAATTCTTCAGTCGACCCAGTGACTGCCTCTCAGTGAGATGGATTACCTTCATCAACGGGAGGAATTCTCCTGTGGGCACAGGTAACGTCTTCATGGAAGCGCTGCAGTTGCGCCACTGTAGTTTTAAGTGCAGACAAGCCCAGAGATTGGATGAGGAGGGATGGAGACTGGGACTGGCTGGACAAGGAGATTGGGAACTGGGGTGGGAGGAAAACAGCAAGACGGATCTGCAGAGGAGAAACTGAACTAGAGACTGGGACTGGGAGATGGGTGGGGGATGTGGAATCACTGGAAACCAATGGGGGGGAGGGAGATCGGACAAGGATGCTGGGGTAAGACGGGGAGCGTGGGTCTAGCTGGGCTGGTGGGGAAGAGAAAGAAATGAGGCCTCAGACAAGGAGTCCAGAGCGGGAGACTAGGACTGGCTGAGTATGAAGACTGGGACAAGATGCCTGAAGGAGATGGGGACTGGGACAAGGAGCGAGGACTAGATAAGAGAAAGGACCAGGACGGGGACAGGTTGGAGTGGAGGGGGCAGAAGGGTATGTGCTCACTAGAACACTCCCCTCCAGAACCTGAAATGGAACCCAAGATGGACCACGCTGTTCCTCTGCTGTCAGTAAACATCTGTGAAATCCCCAGGCAAAGTGTGTCTCGGCCACATGGAGGAGGACCACAACCTATTATTGTTACCAGTTACTCAATTAGTTCCAGTGGCAAAGGTCTCTGCAGTGGATCTAAAAGTTCCATCCCTGTCCATTACCCATGTGGATGTCAATATGATGCCACCTGATGGATTTTTTTTTCCAGTTTGCTTAAAATAAAAACCTAGGAAATACACACAAAATACTGTGTTAAAAGAACATTAAGGGTGCAACGTTAAGGGCAGGTCTACACTTACTTCCTGGTCCAGCCGTAAGCAATCGATCTTCTGGGATCGATCCCGGAAGTGCTCGCCGTCGACAACGGTACTCCAGCTCGGCGAGAGGAGTACGCGGCATCGACGGGGGAGCCTGCCTGCCGCGTCTGGACCCGCGGTAAGTTCGAACTAAGGTACTTCGAATTCAGCTACGTTATTAACGTAGCTGAATTTGCGTACCTTAGTTCGAAGTGGGGGGTTAGTGTGGACCAGGCCTTAGGGTCTTATTTGCAGAAGTGAAGAGCACACTCAGCTGCAACTGAAGTCTGTCCTTTGAACATATAATGCTAAGTACTCTGAAATAAAAAATATCAGACCCTAGGCATCTCAAATTGGGTACCCAAAATTAGTGGGCACTTTGACCTCAATCTCTCTGTGCCCCAGTTCCCCATCTGTAAAATGAGGATAATACCACCCCTCACCTCATATGGTTGTTATGAATATAAATTACTATTTGTGAAGCATTCAGATACTGTAGTGATGAGCGCCATCAGAAAGCCCAGGAGGGAATTAAAAATTCTGTATTCAGAGCAGGGTTTGAATAGTGTGTAGCAAATAAGACTGGGGGCCATACATTGAACAAGGATAAAACAAAATATTGAATAGCTGCTCATTAATTGAGCGCTGTCCATCCTGTGCACTGAATGACACAGGTGTCCTGTGGGGAAAAAGTGCAATCATGTAATTAAGGACTACCATAATGCATACATACAAGGGCAATATTACATGTCAAACTTTTGGGGTTGGCATGACTCAGAGCCCTCAAAATCATGACTTGACAACAACAACAAAAATTGTGTGTGGCTTTTGCTCTGTCTTGATTTTTGTACTCCCCCGCCTGCCGCATGCATGTTTGTTTCCCCAAAGTTATAGGGAAAGGTAATTTCGGCCCTCACTGAAGGACCTCTCGCTGGTTGCCTGATGGTGTGGAGTTCCCAGCTTCTCCCCAAGCCTCAACATTCTAATTAATCTTGTGTCCCCCTCACTTCCATATCTGCCCATCCGCCCGGGCAGCAGTCAATTCTGGTTGCTAAAATAACCTTAATCCTGGCATTTCCTAACTTTTGAGTGCTTGATTTTGCAACCTTAACAATGTTCTTTTAACACAGTTTGTGTGTGTTCAGTGATGTGTTCTATGTAGATGTCCCTCGACCACCTGATGGCGTCTGACACCACGAGCTGCCGCATCAGCCGAGCATACCATTGACCGATTCCACGTTCTCTCAGCACTCGCTTGTTACTGGGGTCCCATGCGCCCAAGGCTCCAACAATCCGTGTATGTGTCTGAACCTGGTAACCCTTAGCTCTCAAGGTTTCGGCCAGAGGGCCGTATTTCTCTACCTTTCGAGCTTGGGCATCGTGGAAGGCCGGGGTCCTGTTCTCGAAGGGCACTGTGACATCTACCATGATGATCTTCTTCCGGTCCTCGTTGGTGATGACGATGTCCGGTCACCATTGGCTGTTGGTTCCGGGGATGGCAGAGTTCATGGCAACCTTCCTCACGGGTGGTGGGATAGCTCTGGCGTTGTGTCACAGCTGCCAAGCTCTCGAATGGGGCTTGCAGGTACACAAGACGTGGGGTAGCGTCTCACTGGCGTAGCTACACTTCCTGCATCGCTTGTCCCGATTCCCATGGCGGAGGGCTCCATTGAGCAGGACATAGTTGAGCCAGGCACGGTGGATGAACCGCCAGTCGGCGAAATGAGTGAAGCTGCCCCCGGCGAGGAAGTGGTTGCTGGCATCCCACTTGCACATCACCTCGAATGCCTTGTCCTGGTCTGGCTTCTGTTTCAGGTTTTCCACGTATTGGCAGCGGATGGCATCCTTCAGGGTCCTCTCCAGCATGGTTCTAGCTCTCGGAGTGATGACTGTATGATCTGTATTCTTCACTGGACATCAACAATACCAGGAGGAATGAGCTGGACTGCCGATGAGAAGCGCAGTCAGGAAAGTAAAATACTTTCCTCATGGATTGTATTTTCTAAATGGACAACCAACCTAATTTTCAATTACTGAGGGACAATCACCACTCACTGATATATTTTGCTTTCCACAACCAAATCTCTTTACCACTTTTTATGAGTAATGTACCCGAGTATTCGGATTCTAATATCTAAACTGTACTGTTAAATCTATTCACCTAAATTTGGACTATTTCTGATTATGCACTCTATGCATCTTATGACTTTTAAAAACTAACTTTATATTTGTGGATAATCTAAGCACTACACCCAGATGTACAGACACTCTTTTCCCAACCTGTGTATGATATATATATTTTTTAACATTAGCTTTAATAAAAATTTTAAAACTGTAAATCATCGCAAACAACAATGCTGAGTCCTTACCAGTAGAACACCTGGTAGACAACAAGCTTGGAAAAAGCCAATGGCCTTGGGCTGGTTGCTAGTATCAGGTGCTTGAATAGAGTAATTTTGATCATCCTCATCCTCCTCATTATTGCTGATTAAGGGTTTGTTTGCATCTTCTTCAGCACTGCCCTCCTGTTCTTCTCCAAGCTCAGGGAGGCCTAGAACACATGAGAATGTACACGAGTAACAAAGGACAACACCATTCTTTCCCCACACAAAACCCATGCTCACTCCTTTTAAGCATTTCTCCCTTCTGACACTCGGCTTGCTCTCCCATACCTCCATCCTCCTTTGGCTTAGAAACTCTTCTAGATGGTGTTCTGCAGAGTCGCCAGTAGAAACTACCCCTTGTCTTCTAGCGCTCTTGAAAGTATTCTGTCTGATCCTGGCGTCGGCTTTGTCTGTTCTGAGTGTCTGGCCATTAGTTGGAAGACACAACAAATTAGTGCATTTCCCCCTATTTAGTGGCTAGACTCCCTGTGCGTGGGTCCTGCACACATCACCTCAGGCAGTATTTGAACATGGATGCTCACAGTGTACCAGCAGCAGTTCTGACAGAAGAACTAACAGGAAGACTCTGTATGGTGGATTTGCTAGAAGCGGTCCTACGCTGTCTGACCTGGAGGACATCCTTATGTACATTCCAACACTTCAACAGTTACCTCCTCTGCAACCTCCCCAAAAACTTGGGAGACTCCACCATGTCCCTGACAATGCCCTGAAGATCTCTTTTCTACTCACACTGGAGACTCTGCCTTGCCAACCATCTTCTCAGATAAGGCCTATGCCCCCTTCAGAGCCCATATGCCAAGCCTTAATCAGCAGGCAGAGTTTTGCAAACCAAAAGCATTCTTTCCCCTCATGGGATGGAGAGGATTCTAAAACTACTGCTCAACACAATTTACTCCCAGGGAAGTCACTTGCATGTTCCTCTATTAACTCTTAGAAAAACACCTAGTTCCATAGGAAGGACACTTGGGAACTGGGTGCATTCTAAGGAATATGGTTTGCACACTAGTCGGACCCCTCTTTGACCCTCTGTCCATATGAATAATGTTGTCTGCACCTAGCGTGTTGCAGGCCAGGAAAACGTCCACTCAGGTAGCCACTACCGGGCTTCCAGGCAAGTTTAGAACTGTGTCGGTGACATGAACTTTTGGCAGCAAGAGTTGGGCTTTTGAAGTGACGTGACAATGTTAACCACATTTTTAATGCCACATGGGGGAGCTGCAAACCTGCTTGCCGACTAGGGTTTAAGATGACATAGACCTCTTTTACTTACCCACTTCTTTCGGGGAAATCAAAAGTCCAAAGAAGACAATGATTCCTCCAGCAAACTGCACCGATGCTGTCACCAGGAAGGCATACTGGAGAGGAGAGAGAATAAAAGAACTACCTTTCACACTGCTCTTTGGCATCTCATTCTAAATTAAACATTCATTTCTATTTTTCCAACCACTTTCAATCACACAGGGTCTCCATGCAATGAGACATGCAATTTCTCTGTACCCCATCTCTGTGTGAGAGTAAGCCATACCAACATAGACTATCTCCATAAAACCTAGAAACACAGTCCCCCCTCCCTCCAGAGTAGACTCTATGCCAGTGGTTCCCAAACTTTAACAGCCCGCGAACCCCTTTCACTAAATTGTGAAATCTCGTGAACACCCTCCTAAAAATGAATATTTTCAGGGATTTAAGTTTAAATTTCCTCAGTGTGATGGATGCCCCAATTCCTGGGCCCCGGAATCTATGAACCTCTGAAAAATATTTTTAATTGAAACTTTTTTTAACGAACATAGAAAAACCAGAAACCAAAGATGTTTCTGTAAAATGTTTTTTGGCTTTTGTTTAAAAAAAAAATGGTTTAGAATAAAAATAAATTCATTTTTGGTTTTCAAAAATCAGAAAAATGTTTCAGTTTTTGAAAATGGACCATTTTTCCGTTTCAGTTTTTTGTAAATTTTTCTTGGGGAATTTTGAAAAATGTGAAAAAAATTCAAAACTTTCTGTGAAAAATGCTTGGTATTTTTCACCCACCTCTAGTTTCGGGTGAGGTTGTGGCTGGTGGTAACAAGGAGGGCTGTGGTTCTGGCTTTAGATGAGATTTGGCAAATTCCTGGGGCTCGGGCTGGGGTTCGGGCTGCTGGCTCGCCCGCTGACGGGGGCGGGGCTCAGGCTGCCAGCCCCTACTGCCCGGCCCCGCTCTCCCTGGGGCTCGGGCTGCCAGCCCCACGCAGAGCGCTGGGGTTCAGACTGCCAGCTCCCCCGCTGACGGGGGCAGGGCTCGGGCTGCTGGCCCCAATTGCCCGGCCCCGCTCTCCCTGGGGCTCAGGCTGCCAGCCCTGCGAGGAGCGCTGTGGCTCGGGCTGCCGGCTCCCCCACTGAGCGCCGGGACTCGGGCTGCCTGCCCTAACTGCCCGGCCCCGCTCTCCCTGGGGCTCGGGCTGCCGGCTCCCTGGCTGACAGAGGAGGGTCCGGGCTGCTGGATCAAACTGCCCAGCCCCGCTCTCCCTGGGGCTCGGGCTGCTGGCTCCCCCTCTGACAGGGGAGGGGCTCCGGCTGCTGGCTCCCTGGCTGACAGGGGAGGGCTCAGGCTGCCGACGGGGCTCAGGCTGCTGGCTCCCTGGCTGACAGGGGAGGGCTCGGGCTGCCGACGGGGCTCAGGCTGCCGGCTCCCCCGCTGACAGGGGAGGGCTCGGGCTGCCGACGGGGCTCAGGCTGCCGGCTCCCTGCCTGACAGGGGAGGGCTCGGGCTGCCTGCTCAAACTGCCCGGCCCCGCTCTCCCTGGGGCTCGGGCTGTCTGCCCTGCAACTGGGTCCCAGCAGAGTCCTCTGGCCGCCATTAATGAAATTTTTCTCGCGAACCCCCTGAAATGTCCTGCGAACCCCCAGGGGTTCGCGAACCCCACTTTGGGAACCACTGCTCTATGCTGTTTACCACGCTGGAGGGGGAGCACTGGAATGGAACATATGATGGCGGGGAAGGAGCTTAGACACCGAACACCAGATATTATTCACTTTCCCTTTAATGCAGGCAGATAATGAACATTTCGTCTTACAGTAATGGCCACAGCTAGCACCTCACTGCTCTTTGTGGTTACAAAGCAGAGTACGTACAGGCATCTACCATTCAGAAGGGTGAACCCTAACAAATGTTCCTGGAGCTTAGCTTCCTGTTGGCAGAGGGGAATAAATTAAAATAATAAGCTATTGTATTTCTATACTATTTTTCAAGTTTGTGCAATAAGGATCTTCAGGCACCTGAGCAGAGCGCATGAACATTTCTCCCTTTACATTCTGCTGCATTTAAGATTTCCATGAGAGTGAATATTGGAGATGTGTGTATTTAGTCCATAAACACTGCCTTGTTCTCAGGTCACTAGCTATATAATATTGCTTTACAAGGGGTAGGGGTGGGCAGACAAGGAGAGAACGTCCTAAAATCAGGTTGTATTGTCCAAAAGGTGAAGACCGGATTTGCAGTCAGTGGACATGCTCGAGCTGGAGCCCCCTCGGTATAAGAGAGAAAAGGCTGCCAACAGGGGGTTCTCTGTGAAGGGTCCTTGACTTTGGAACTCTTCCCCAACTTGGTCCAAAACAGCTCGCATCTGGCCTTTAAGCCACAATGCAAAACCCTTTTATTTTCTCCCTGGCTTTTGGTGATAAGGTGGGTTTAACATCTTTTTGTTGCTTGGCCATTGTGGGATGGAGAAGTGCTGGAGATCAAGTTGTAACTTTAACACTTTTATATTATCAAGAACACCTAGAGTACGGGAGGGCAGCTCTTTTATCCTATAGAACTCAAAATCAATAAATGTATCTACCTGAAGGAACTATTTTTACTCAAGTGATGGCTGGCAGTTGGGGGAGGAGTTTTGTTTTTAAGTACAATACTATTGTTCTCAAGCACCAGACTGCACCTGCTCAAGCCAGGCAGGTACAGGGATGTCAGAACAGAGGCCCAGCTTTCTTAGACTCTGCTAAAAATCTTACAAGATGCTCACCGAGTACAGTCAGATTGACCTTAGCACTGATTATTTTTATATCCCGTCCCCAAAAGAGAAGGAAAGCACAAACTCCACAGTAATAACTACATTTCAAATTTCAGCATAACCTCTTTAAAAGTATATATAAAAATATGTAGTAGGAAGGGAAATTTTTACTGGTCCGTAACACAAGAACAGCTGAAGGTATTTTACTCAAACTTTCAAAAAGTGTTTACCTCCAGGAGGAAGTCAAGAATAGACAATTCTAGCCCAAAAGGTGGATGTTTTGGGAAGCTGAGAGTGGCTGAAAACAGGTAGTTATAATGAAAGCTGTTTTTCTACCTTAACTATATCATAATTTGGGTCTATTTCTATAAGGCCTGGTCTACACTAACCCCCCAAGTCGAAGTAAGGTATGCAACTTCAGCTACGTGAATAACGTAGCTGAAGTCGACATACCTTACTTCGAACTTACCGCAGTTCAGACGCGGTCCACACGCGGCAGGCAGGCTCCCCCGTCGACTCCGCGGTACTCCTCTCGTTGAGCTGGAGTACCGCAGTCGACGGCGAGCACTTCCTGGTTCGATTTATCGCGTCCAGACCAGACGCAATAAATCGAACCAGGAAGTTCAATTTCCAGCCGCCGAACTAGCGGCTAAGTATAGACCAGCCCTAAGAAGCCATATTAATTGCTAATCCTTGTTAAATGCTCCCTGAAGCAGCGGCATGCCCATCCCCACACCCTGATGGATGTCCGTGCCCAGGGCCGGATTAAGGTTATGAGGGCTAAGGCTAATGGGAGGGAAGGGTCTAAGTATGAATTACATATTGCAAAAAAATTATGAAGTCATCAAACATTTATCTACATACGTATTTACATATTATTTATTTATGTAAAATTAACAAGTTTATTCTACTCTCACTACACTCAATTCTTCAAACAAAATTTTTTTCCCCCCTAGCTTTAGCTGTGGCAAAGTCATGAACGATGTCATCGAAATTCAAAGACCTGACGATTTCATTCTCAATTGGGACAAAGCACTGAGATGCTCTTGAGTCATGGTGGATCGGAGGACATTTTTGACCCTGGTTAGAAGAGAGAAGGAACATTCTCCACTACAGCTAGGGATCATTAGTGACAAATACAGGCATAATGAAATTTCAACATTTGGGAAACATTCTATCACACTGGATTCAGTAATAACTCAGTACGTACAAATATGATTTGCTTTTGTCACCTTTTCTCTCTATATCTGAGAGCGATGCGAATTCAACAAATTGAAGAAATTATTTAGTAAAATCTATTGGGAGATCGTCTGTGTCAGAAGTACCCAGACATTTGATACCTTCACTGACTTCGGAACTTGAAATGTTAGGTGAAAAATTTGTCAGTACACTAAAGGTTTTGTCAATATTTTCGTAAGCCTTGATCCGATGTTCCGATGAACTCTTCAGTTTGTCAATGATTGTGATGAAGGTATTAGCTCTGAAGGCCTCCTTGTCACTGACTGAGTGGGCAGTAGCATCGTTGCATGTCTTCTGTCTTTTGCAGCATTTGGGTGACTTATACTCATGGTTAGCAATCCTTGCAGCCCCCTGAATTTCATACTCATCAAAACTATCCTGCATTTGTTGAAGAACAGTTCCAAGACTCCTCATTAGGTTACAGGAGTGGAAAGGTCAATTTGAGCACTTTGCAAGCTGAGACTGCACCTGCTGAATGGCTGAAGTATATCATTCCAGACCACAAAATACCAGTTTCCAAAGTGCACATTGCATCACTCAGGATCTTCGCATCTTTTCTTGTTGCTGATTTTTTAGATTCATCATCCTTGATGCTCTCTAGCGCTTCAAGGATGTTAGGGTTTCCCAGAACAACTGCATTCACAGCTTCAGCGTTGGCACTCCACCGTGTCCCTGAGAGTGATTTGGATACTGGGTATCCCTTTGGTAGTGAATCTCTAAGAATCATCGAACGACTGGTTGATGCAGAGAAAAAAAAATTGTACAATTCTTGGACAAAACCAAAAAAAGAAACTGCTTCAACACAACAATCCATGGCAGACTGGCCAATAAGGTTGAGTGAGTGAGCAGCACATGGTATGTAATCAACCAAAGCATTGCGTTCTTTTATCTTTGCCTGCATCCCTGAATATTTGCCACTCATATTACTTGCATTATCATAGCTTTGGCCACGACAAAGGCGGATGTCAATCCCATTTTGGGTGACGAAATCGAGTAGGTACAAGGCAAGTTTCTCCCGTGTGGTTGGTGATGTTTATGAAAGTCATGAAATGCTCAACTGGTCCACTGGGTAGCACATAATGCAAGATGACAGTCAGCTGATCTACATGTGACACATCCGGTGTTGAGTCAACAGACACTGAAAAATATCCCACATCTTCAATCTCATCTACAATGGCTGATAGTATCTTCTTTGCCAGCAGTGCAATGAATTCATCACAAATAGTCTTTGATAGATATGATGCATGGCCTTTTCCATAATTTGCGTGTTCATTGATGTGCTGAGTTAAGAAAGGGTCAAACTTAGCGATTAGCTCTAGAACGCCAAGGTAATTGCCATTGTGTTTCGATCCAACAGTCTCACCTGAGCCACGGAATGGCAGACCACGCTCAGCAAGAAAAACTGTGGTTTCAACTATGCGTCTGGGAATGTTCTTCCAATAAGCACAACTTTCCAAAAACTGGTTTTCCATTTGGGTATCAATTCTGCCACTAACTTTCTATCGGGCATGGTAGCTGCTAACTGACACTGTATGCTGCTCACTCATTGTATGATTGGTAATGTATGCAGTATTCGTCCAACCACTGAAGCCTTTGTAGAACATTCCCCACTTCAGAAAACAGGCGGCAATAAAAACAGTACACTTTCTTCTTAAAAGGCGAATAGATGAGCCATTCTCGCTTGCCAATCTGTTTGTTAGGCTTCGCATATTCAAACATTGGTTTGGCCAGATAAGGATTCTGATTGGTGTACTCTCGCTTTGTCAATCACAAGTCAGCATCTAGATTCTGGCATTTCTGTGAGCCCTTCTCAGTCCAATATGCAATGAGATCTTGAGAAGTCACGTCCCACGCGCCTGGATGGCTGGAGAAGGATTTTTTTGTATTACTATCACTGGGAATGTCTTGAGAGGGGTGGGGTGAGACTGCAGCTAGAGAAGTCACAGGAGGCTGCTCCTTTTCATCAAGCGCAGGCACAGCAGGTTCACTTGGGCTGGTATTCGCCTGGACTTCCGCACCACTGAACTTAGTAGGAGGAAAAAACGTTAGGAGCGAAGGAATACCTTTCAGTACTACATCTTGTCTTTGCCATCTTTCTTTGGCCTCCTTCAATTTCTGCCATCCTCCTTTCTTCGACATGGTTTCTATTGTCCAGTGTAGGCCTACTGTGTACAAAGTTCTATATTGCTTGGGCCCACAAACACTTACTTAGCCCACAAAGACAAAATCACAACCACCATAAATAGAATTCACAATCTTGATGGATTTAATTTGTACAAAGCAATATCTAATGAGATGAAAAAATTTCCCGATGGCCCCCGCTACCGTCGCTCAGCTGTTACTTCAATATGGAATGGAGGGCCTACAGTAGGGTCTAAAAATTAGGGCCTAAAGTAAGACCTAAAAATAGGAGGGCCTAAGGCTATAGCCTTCTTAGCCTATAGGTTAATCCGGCCCTGTCCATGCCTCACCACTGCTTAACAGCAGTGTCTGTCAGCCAGCTGACGTGCAGCATTAGATTTGGCTCCAAACAGCACTTTGTCCTCTCAAAGTCAGGAAGATGGTAGGTGACCATGACATAGGGGCTCAGCAGAAATGGGTAAGTTTTAAAGGGACCAAGTGTGTCCCCCCACAGATGGGTAAATTTTAAAGGGACAGAGCCCCTCCAAATCTCATGCAATATTCTGTACTCTCTCGAGTTGAGAAGGAAAGGAGAGGATTACTATGCTCTGTCTACCACCTGTCGCCACAAAGATATAGGGAGCAGAGTTCCCCCATAGACACGGGAAAGAAGAAAAACACGTCATTTATCTGCTCACCTGGTCTCAGTGGGCCAGAGACAGGGAAAGACTCCCTGGGATAAGACAGCCCCTATGCATAACTCCAAGTCAGACAGCAACTACTCACCTCATAGCCATACTGCAGAACACAGGAGGCGAGGAATGCTCCCAGAATGTTCCCCACTGATGCACAGGCACTCCAGAGTCCAAAAACAAAACCCCTCCTGAGAAAGCACAGCAAAATGGAGGGGGGGGGAAGGAGGGGAGAGAGAGAGACAGACAGAGAAGATAGAGAGTTAGAACTGGCTTTAACTGACATGTAATAGTATTAAATTCTCCACTCCCTCCCCAGACAGAAGCAGCTTCATTTAAAATAAAATATACTGTAAAATAATCAGCTCATAATAGACAAGTTTGTCTATCATGTCCCATTCTGTTTCACTGGAGTCAAACTAAGGTCGAGGTCAGTGGTGTCAAGACATCAGACCAGATCCAGCCCACAGGACACATGAGACATTTATCCACGTAAATCTGACAAATTCTGATTCTACAACAGGTCAAAGTTTCTATCTAGCCCTTATGAATGTGACCTGCTGTTGCCCTACCTTAGGTGTTCTGAAACAGCCTTCAGAGATGTTTGAAACCTTAAATCTAATGACAACACTTTATGGGCCAGATTTTCCAATAATTTAGCTGTGCAGTTGTGCACTTTGTGTGTGCTCACAGTCACTGCAATTGTCTGTTCAAACTGAGTTTTATATATGCCAATGACCACATCAACAAAGAGCAGAAAACGTATAATAATGATACCCAGCTCTCATAGAACATTTTTGATCCCTAGATCTCAAAGCACTTTACAAAGGGAGGTCAATATCATTATCCCCATTTTACAAGGGGGAAAAAGTACAAAAAGTAATGCAAGTTTCGGCACAATACAACAGCCTTAATCTGACCCAAAATGAAAACTATTTTGTCGGAGTTAAAGCGGTTATGTAGTGAAGAAATATGCATTACTGTATTTTATATCTGATAAGAGTAGTTTGTTTATTGTTTATTTGGGACGGGTAAGATTTCTGTCGTTCACTATTCATTTACTGTTTGTCAATGCTCAGGTTACAATAGGTAAGTACGTTATCGTTTAGCAGGATTTGCCGGAGAATTGGTTTGGTTTGGGAATTCAGTCGAGACTGCTGTTCTGCATCACAGATAAGCTACTAAACCAAGGAGAAATACCAAGTACCCAGCTTTTCCAAACCAGTTGCCCATGATGGCAACAACACAGGGCCAGCCAGTGGACTGCAGCAAGCCATTCACAACCCAGAGGCAGCAGTAGAACCATTTGTTGTAGAAATGCAGCCATTCTGTGAGAGTGCCAAATACAAACTCCTGTGGGGAAAGAGAGGAAAACTGTGATCCTGCTACAAATCTTCCAGGCTGACCAGAAGTGTCAATGCAAAATTGAAAGGGAAAAAAAAAAAAAGAGGAAGAGGTTCAAGGCCTATGTTTTACATTTCATTCAAGTGACAGCATCTCCAACAGCTCAGGTGTTCCTAATACCATGCTCAGCCAATGTTCAGTGATGACTCAGAGGTAACAGCACCACCTGCTGAGTCACCAACAGCATGTCCTGCAGCATCTAAACGTGCCTCCCTCCCACGTGTGGTACCCAGCTTAGTTACAGCCCACCCTAGGAGTAGTGGTTGCCATTAATTTACAAAAATAAAACTTGAATCAAAGATTGATGGACAAAACACCTATCAAATTAAATATGCAACAATATTGAAATACAGGAAAGTCTCACTAATTCCCACTTTACTGATGCATAAACCCCTGCAAAAAAACCTACAGTGGTTTCACGGTCTTTATCAGCAAACACTTAATAGCAAAGAGTGCTGTAGTCAGGTCTCGAATTACAAAATCATCACCAATATAACAGATGATGACTGTACTTTTACTAGAACACTAGGGAGCATAAGCATAGAATCTCAGCAGTGTACAGCTGAAAGGAACCTCCATCCTCCCACACCGCGGTAGGATTAAGTATACCTAGAACACCCTTGACAGGTGTTTGGTTCACCTGTTCTCAAAAACCTCCCCAGGTAACCTATTCCAGATCTAAAACTATCCTTTTAGTTGGAAAGTTTTTCCTAATAGCTACCCTAAATCCCCCTTGCTGTAAAGTAAACTGATTACTTCTTGTCCTGCCCTCAATGTACATGAAGAACAAAAATTGATCGCGGTCCTCTTTATAACTACCTTTTACATATTTGAAGATTAACAGTCCCTCTCAGACCCCCAGTCTTCTCTAGATTAAGGTCTGGTCTGTACCTAAATCTTAGGTCGATTTAGCTACGCTGCTCATGGACGTGAAAAATTCAGACCCCTGAGACACACAGTTAAGATGACCTTAGCCCCAGTGTTGGTATCACTAGGTCAATGGAAGAATTCTTCTGTCAACCTCTTGAGGGAGTGGATTAACTGCAGCAACGGAAAAACCCCTTCCATCGCTGTAGCAAGTGTCTACACCACAACAGCGTAGCTGCTGCTGTAGCACTTGTAGTGTAGACATGCCCTAAACATGCCAAGTTCTTTCAACCTTTCCTCATAGGCCATGTTTTCTACACCTCTTTTGTTGCTCCCTCTGGACAGGGAACCAGTTTGACAGTGAACCACTGATAACTATTCTTTGAATATGATTTTTCAACCAGTTGTGCACCCATTTTACAATAATTTAATCAAAACCGTATTTCCCTAGTTTGCTTATAAGAATATCATGTGGGACTGACAGAAACTTTAGCCCTAACCTACACTATGCAGGATAAACAAAGCATGCTTTGTGATGCAATATACTTGATTTATGCAGGTGTTTTTATCCATATTTGCAAAATGTAATAATCCACCAATAGGTCTCCCAGTCATTGGGATGAATTAAAGTATGGGCATAGCCATGTAATGTTAATGATTAAAAACCCAGTAAGATAAAATACATTCAGTGTTTATCCATGGAAGCTTGAAACTGAAGAAGTCTTTCCTTACAGATATTCCCTTCTGATTTATTTCACCCACCACCAGCTGCAAAATCAAGTAAGTTAATACTAGTTTATTAATGTTAGTGTTTTCTTGTAAGAGAAACGAAGGAAGGATTTATTTGGAAGGAAAGCCATTTTACAAAGATATGTGGGTTTGGAAAACAGTCCTGATACACACAGAAAACAGACTGAAGAAGAGAATGTGTAGGCCCAGATTTGGGCTCCTCATACTCAAGCAACTCTTGTTCATATCTTAGTAGGTCACAACATCGATGTTTGAAGAAACGTCTCCACTATCCTTACACAAATGAATACTGCCACAGAGGCTTTAGGGGGGTTGGAAGTGCTCTTCTGTAGGCCTCAGACTCTGGTCATGATACAAAACAGTAAGTCTGGCTCAACGCCAAACTCCATAAACAAACTATTTTTGCCACGAAGTTCAAAAAATAAAATAAAAATGAGGCATTCTGAACAGCTTAGCATGGCACTCCCCTAATAACACTACTTAGGAAGCACTGGGGTGTAGAGCAAGTATTATTATTATGTCAACCCCTGCACCCACAGGCTAGGGTCAGATAAATTCTGCCATTCTACTCTAAACAAAAACAAGAGCCAAGTGTTTTAGAGGGAAGGAGAGTTTCTAAATCACAGTAATCACGCTTCACCGAAACAGAGACATTTTTCAACTTACCACTAAAGCAGAGGAGCACATGCCGAAAGACAAGACCCATCGTAAATTCAGGCGATCCCCAACTATGCCACTGACAAAGAGACCCTAAGAACACAGATGAGTATGTTAAGCAAAGCCACATGGTTTACATTTGTTTTCAACATGATCTGTAAGAAGAGTTGAAGGAATGCTGGGAGCTCAAATCTGACTCCAAGTACAGGTGTGTAGAAGTCTGGTGGCGGTGTTTGTTTTTACAAGATCTAATACAAACAGAAGTGTTTCCATTAACTTATGCTCCTGAAATTTCAATCACAATGACTTTGTTTCGACAGAGGCTCTCCTGCAACATTTGCAATGCAAACATGGCAACATTGTGCTAGTGTACTAGATCGAGAAAGTGACACTGATTGGATTGTGAACAGAAGCGAAAATTACAAGTCTGTTTTTGGTGTCCAACTGTAGATAAACACAAAGCAAACAGAATAGTGAAAGCTTAGATTTCTAAAAATTCAGCTTTAATAATCTAAGGTGTTACTAATAACACAGGCAAAGAAATTTGCCTAATTTTAGAAATATGACTTAAAAGGTTAAGAAAGTGCCATCCACTTTAGAGTGATATAATAAGTGTCCCAAACAGCAAGGGTAAAGGTACCAGCAAATATTCTACTTTAAATATAGGCTCCCTATCTTCCACAGTCCTTTCAAGCCTCCTGAATTGCAAATTGCCATGCACCTGTGAGACATTCCAGCAGGGGAATTTGAGCAGGGGGTTGGACTAGATGACCTCCCTGAGGTCCCTTCCAACCCTGATATTCTATGATGATTCTATGATGTACCCACATGCAGATGATGTCATATCATTACTACAGCAGACTTCAGTAAGGAGCCAGAGTATTAGGGGAGGTGCCCAATAAGTGTCTTTTGCAGAGTGTTTGTTACCCTGCATGATACAAAACCACTTGAAAAAGCCTCCCTAAATCTGTGCAACATACCAGTGCAAAAGGCATTTATTTGATCCTACAACCCTCCTCCCCAAACTCCTCTATTGTCTGGCTCCTTGCTATGTCAGACTTTGTGGTGGATGTGACATGCCACTAATGTATGGTGTTGGAGACTGTAATGGATTCTAGGAGACCTGAAAGAGGTTGTGAGGACAGAGAGGGTAAATTTAAAGCAGATTATATGCTGACAGCCTTTCACCATTGCTATTTGGAGCATTCAGCATGTAATTCTGAAGTAGATGGATTTCTCTTAAACCTATTTTCAGACCCCTTAAAAGATGTAACATATCCAGTATGGCGTGAGGGCAAAAATAATGTAGCCAAAGGGAATCTGTTCACTTCCCAAACCCTTAGTGTTAGCCAGGAGCAGAGAGCAGATCCCGTCCCTCCACCCTCAAACATGATGGGTCATCCTCACCACCCTTCCCACCCAAACTTTGGCAGCTGTGATTAAGTTTTACTCACCACGGCATAGGAAAAGAGAAAGATAGTGTCCAACATCCCCAGGAAAAGAGTGGCTTCTTCTGCATTGGGAAATAAATGGCTACTGTTCCAGAGCTACAAAGAGAAGCAATTGCATCATGAGTCTTCCAAAGAGACAGATCTCATCTACAATACTCAAGAAATACCTGGCTCCAGTAACATCCCATCCCTGACATGCTTTAGCTAATTGATCGAGTCAGGATCAGCTTTGACTTCAAATTCTATGAAAAGCACTTTTTTCCTGCTAGAGACCTCAACTAACTTATAGCACACCAGGAGTGAGAAACACTGCAATTAATATTTATGGTAACAATGTTGCTGATCTACATGCTGCTTTATATATAATGCCTGTGCTCTCAGGATCTTGCAATCTACATTAAATGGATAACATAACAGGAAATGACCAGGAGAAGGGAGAGAACAGAGGAATCAGGGGGAAAAGATATCACTCCCAAGAACAGTGTATTTACAGAGAATTCAGATCACTTATTTTATTCCAATTTTATGTTTAAACTGGAGTTCAATTTTATTTTCAAAGTCATCTGACACAGGGAGAGAATCAGTAGTCCCAGAGATGAGATTAGTGACAGAACACGAGCTGAAAGTAGCAAGCTTTGAGGATGGATTTGAAGGAAGAGTAGAAGGAATTAATAAGGGGTGGGTGGTGGGGGGGAAGAAATCAACCTTAAAGGTGACATTTCCTATGCTCAGCTTTCATCAACTCCATTTTAGTTTTTGCCATAGATCAAGTTCTTCAAGGTAGGGACCACCTTTTAATTATGCATTTGCAAAATGGTGCTCTGATCTATGATTGGGGCCCTTAAGCACTATTATAATAGTAAATGATAGCTGTGCTTCCACACATCTCACTGCCTACAGTCAGGACAGGCCTGGCTGTATTTGGAGTGCCTTCTACCCAAGTACTGGTCACAGCTAGCCTTATTCAGCTGACCAGGCAGCAGCTGACAGATGTGGCTTCTATTTAGTTATGTTTTCCAAAAAATGCAGTGTGTAAAAAAGAGATGCAATAATAAAGGTAAAGCCACTGAAGAAAATTATTGCTGCCACTAGAGGTCAGTAGTATCCATCTATCAGTCTATTAATAAACTATATTGCTAGCTCAGAATGCTGAGCATATCGGGAATGAGTGGTTAAATACCGATTAATAGGTAGAATATACATCCACAATACTTCATTTTACATCACCCACAGGTGTGCTAGACCCTTTACTATAACATAATAAAAACCTAAGGTCCCTGATCCAGACAGATTACACTCCAAAAGTTTATGCTTTACATTTTACACTTATTACACAAAGGCATCCAAGCTGGAGGGGTTGCAAGTGCTTTGGAGGACAAGATTAGAATTCAAAATGATCTTAACAAACTGGAGAAATGGTCTGAAATAAACAGGATGAAATTCAATAAGGACAAATGCAAAATACTACACTTAGGAAGGAACAATCAATCACATAAATACAAAATGGGAAATGATTGCCTAGGAAGGAGTATTGCAGAAAAGGATCTGAGGGTTATAGGAGATCACAAACTAAATATGAGTCAAAATTATAATACTGTTGCAAAAACACCTGAACATCAGTCTGAGATGACGTGACTGAATGAACCCCTATATTCACACCACTGTAATAATCTTTGTATACAATATTCCTCATGAGATATCATTTGAAAAGTAGTAACTCATGGGTCAATAGTATCATGGTGAAATATATATCTATAAAATGCATATATTAAGAGTTATGGACATAAACTGAAATTATGACTGAAATCCATTTACCAGACAAGTCTGGGAAAATCCTGTTTCTCAATGACAAAGGACAAGCTGACAGCTCTAGCAGGGTGTCATCAAAGCTGATTGGCAATCACTGGTCAAGTGGCCATTCTTTGGCAACGAAGGGGGGCAGGAAAAGATTGATCTGCATTTTAACAAACAACATGGAACCTTTTTCACCACAAGATTCCATGTCTCCGTCTTCACAGGGGGAAGGAACTTTATCTAGGGTAACTCTCATGAAAATGCATTTCAAAGGGTGACTGGGCTACAAAAGTGAGGGACAAAAACACCCCAGGGATTCTATCTTTCTTTCTCTCTCGCACTCTTTCACCTAAGATGACAAAGGAGCCAACCCTTTGGAGTGTGGGAGCAAACCCTGCCTTGAGAATTTGGTCAGTTATGTTGCTTGGAACACGTGGTAAAGATTTTACCTGGAGCCAAGTCTAGTTTGTTAAGTCTTAGCTACTAGGAAGCGTTTTATCTTTATTTTTTTTGTAACCATTTCTGACTTTAATACCCTATATCTGTACTCACTTAAAATCTCTCTCTTTGTAGTTAAACAAACGTGTTTTATTTTTTTAAATCAAAACTAATCCAGTGTTGTGTTTAAACTGAACTGTTTCGGGAACTCCAGTTAAAGTAGCAAACTGTTGTATAATGACCCTTTACAAGTGCAACAAACCTCTAATTTCTGAACTGCCCAAGAGAGGGCTGGACAGTGCAGAACACAAGTTTTGGGGAAAATTCAGGACTGGGAGGGTGTTGGGGTCACCCTGCACATGTAAACCAAGGCTGGTAGAAGCCCGAGTGTGGCTGGTGTGTTGCTGACAGGCTACTGGGGTCAGAGTTGCTGGACCAGGGCTGTAGCTATACACACACTCAGGGTGTGACCTGAATGCTGTTTAGCTGTTTGAGTGTGGCCCCGGTTGGAAGCCACAACAGCAAAGCATTGTGAGGTACCCAAGGTTGCACGACAGGAGGTGACACAACCCCTCAGTGGTCTGGATTGCACCTGGAATTGTTGTAAGCAAGACACGAGAAGGAATTCTTCCACTCAACTAAGCACTGATAAGGCCTCAGCTGGAATACTGTGTCCAGTTCTGAGCACCACACTTTGGGAAAGATGTGGACAAATTGGAGAAAGTGCAAAGGAGAGCAACAAAAATCATTAAAGGTCTAGAAAACATGACCTACTAGGAAAGATTGAAAAAAATGGGTTTGTTTAGTCTGGAGAAGAGAAAACTGAGGGGGGACATAATATATATACATATTTAAGTATATAAAAGGTTGTTATAAAGAGGAGGGTGATACATTGTTTTCCTTAATTTCTGAGGACAGGACAAGTAGTAATGAAATTAAATTGCAGCAAGGCAGATTTAGGTTAGACATTGGGAAAAACTTCTTGTCAGGGTAGTTAACCACTGGAACAAAGTACCTAGAGAGGTTGTGGAATCTCCATCATTGGAGGTTTTTAAGTACAGGTTAGACAATCATCTGTCAGGGATGGTCTAGATCAGTGGTTTTCAACCTGTGGTCCGCAGAGCCCCGAGGGTCTGCAGATTATGTCTAAGCTTTCCAAAGGGGCTGCACCTCCATTTGAAATTTTTTAGGGGTCCGCAAATGAAATAAGGTTGAAAACCACAGGTCTAGATAATACTTAGTCCAGCCTCAGTGCAGCGGACTGGACTAGATACCTATTGAGGTCCCTTCCAGTCCTATATTTCTATGATTTTTATGATTTATCCTTTAGCCAAGAATTCGACAAAGGAACAGACATTCCTATGGATAACAAGAACATTCAGAGTTACGGTAGCAAGGATTTAAAGAAACAACACCACCCAAGAGGTTTGGAAGGGTAATATCCAAACTCTAACTCATGGGGCTAGGAAGAAGTTTTCCTTATGTGCAGGTTATATACAAGGCTTCTTGCACCTTCCTCTAAAGTATCTGGTGCTGGCCATTGTTGGAGACAGGATATTGGACCAGATGGACCACGGGTCCAATCCAATAGGGCAGTTCTTGCATTCCCAATACAAGTAGATCTATCCCACTTGTGTTGCACTTTAATGGGAATTACTTGTTAGTAAGGAAGGGAGAACAAGTATTTTTTTCCAATGTGTGATTCTAAAAATAGGAGCCTAGGAAATGTGCAGTCTGAGGAAGAAGAGAGTCGAAATTCCTCTCTCTGCTGGCCTAGCCAGCCAGCTGCTCTAAAAACCCCACACCTATCATAGTAAATATTTAGCTGGCTCAGGGCTACCTCCTCACACTCAGGTAGGCCTTGTAGAAGGTAATAGGCCATGTTCTGTGCTCATTTACCCCTCGTGGAAATCCAGTACAACTGTATGTAAGCAAGTACAATACATCGACTTCCATAAGGCCAAATCCTGGTCCTACTGATCACAAGGCAACACTCTCATTCACGACAAAGGAACTGGGATTTTAAAGGCAGTGGGAGCTGCTGATAGTTCTGCGTTTCTGAAAATCCAGTCACTTACTCAAGTGTTTAAATGTGGACATATCAGCCTAGTTTTAGGCACCCTGTTAGGAATATCTTGGCCGCTACACATAATGAGCTTGGATTGTAGCAGTTTTCTTCCCTCCCACGTCAGCCGTCCTTTCCAGAAGGAGATAAAAGCACTACCACTGACAAAACCATATCCACAATAGGTTTCAGAGTAGCAGCCGTGTTAGTCTGTATCTGCAAAAAGAACAGGAGTACTTGTGGCACCTTAGAGACTAACAAATTTATTAGAGCATATCCACGATGTTACTAACACCTCTGCTTCTGAGATGCAACTCCCTCCATTACTCATTTCACACACAGGCAGCTGAAGCTACAGTCAGTGGGTTTTCCATCTTTTGCATTCTGCTGATTACCATACACAGATGTTTCTGTGGACCCAGTTCCCATCCCAACACCATGACTCCCCAGCTTCTCAGAAAGTTTCACTCTGTGACTGACTACGAAAGGCTCTGCTGACCACTGGTGGTCCAGAGACTATAGTGTGGGATCTACTGTTTTAAGTCACCTGAGACTCCCACCTATGCAAGTACTCAAGTAGCAAGGGGTATCTCTGGCAGAAAATAATCTCTTTCACACCAGTGTCTGAGTTGGGCCATTCACGAACTAGCATTCGTGTGTCTGTATTAAAACTTGCCAGCTAGGTTGATAGTCCTGACTGTTCTCACCTCATATGGCTGGAGCTCCAGGGCTGTGGTATTGATGTCGGAAGGAGTCCATTGGCTGGAAATGCTGACCTTGACATTGCTGAATGTCTTTCTGGAAGCATGGAGCAGGGAGTAACTGCAAGACAGAGAGTGAACACACATAGGTTTGACAGATCTTCACTGGAGCAGAAAGCGAAAGGGACCCAAAATTCCATACACAGTCTGCCTCAGGGCCCAGCCAAGAACCTATTCTTTATTTTTTGGTGAGAGTGGAAGCACCCTAATTTGCAGTTACATACTCTGATTGTTGTTAGTGTGGGGAGGAATGCCAGGCCTAGGAGTGTGATCGACATCTCAATTTGGAGGGAGATGAAATGTCCACCAATGGTTATACACTTAACACACACACACACACGAAAACACTTGCCCAGCTAATCACCACCATAGGTTCTCATCTAAAGACACATCAGATATCCTCTCTCCTCCAGAACTCTGCATGAATCACTGTGTGTAGAATGCAGAGAGGCGAAAGAAGCACGGTGTGCTCATTGTTGGGATTGTTTATTTTCCTCTGGTTTTGGAAGGCTCCACTTGCTTCCACTCTTCCGTAGTGTAACTCTGCATGCAGGCAGATGGACAGGTCAATGAAGTCCTTCATCACGAGTACTATTTATGTCAGTGGTTTTCAACTTTTTTTCCATTTGCGGAACCCTAATAAATTGAATGGAGCTGCAGTCCCCTTTGAAAATCCTAGACATAAGTCTGCAGACCCCCGGGGTCCACAGACCACAGCCGCATTCCTCTCCACACTAACAACCAGAGTATCTAACTGCACATTAAGGTACTTCAACTTCCACCAAAAAATAGGGTCTTAGCTGGCCCTGAAGACCACTACTCTATGGTAACAACAACCTTTTGTGGATCCCTTAGACATAGCCTGCAGTCCTTCCAGGGTCCATGGACCATAGGCTGAAAACCACTGATTTATGTCAGTATTCACACAGGGAATATGCATTTCGTTATTTGAATGCACAGGAAACCCCCGCACAACAGTACTGACACTGTGCCTCCCTCTACACATCACTATTACTACTTGGCCTTTTATAAAACCAATGGTCAGATCTTCTCATTATCCTCCCTTCCTTTCCCTCCACACGTCCACCCCCCAAACTCAACTGGATGAATGTCATGCAGATCCAGGAGCGGCCAACCTACCTGAAGAAGGTAAGCAGGAACACAGCAATGTGGTGATGAGTGCAATGGGACACAAGGGACGCATCTGCAGGCTGCCTTCGCAAATTCCTAGGCACAGCCATACTTCTGGCCTCGCCCTCCTTCTGGCCCTTGGCCTCAAAGGCTGGAAGTTAGTTTAGGTCATTTCTCTTCTCACTTAAAAGGAAAAAAGGGGGGGGAAATTTTGAAGAAAAGCTCACTTATAAAACAATGTTCAGCAAGTAGCTGGAAGACAGCAAGGGGTACAATGCTATTCCACTTGTTCCCAGTGAAGTTCAAGTCTCTAACCTCACCTTCAATGTTCTGCACATCTCTGTGCCCATCTCATCAGCTTCTCCTTTCCTGGCACCAGTAATGCCTGGAACAGTCTCTCTCATGCACCAAGCACCTTCATAGTCCCACTTCTTTCACATGCCCTTCCTATGTCGTCTGTCTGTCTAAGTTCTTAAAGGGTGCCCATCAGCGGACAAACTCCCCAGGGGGGTCTCTCCCCACTCCCTGAATTGTCATCCATCCCCTATTCATATTTGTCCACCTTAGATTGCAAAATGCTCAGTGAATGAACACTCTTTGCACCATACAGACTGATCATAAGAGTCTTACTTGCTACTGTTATATGGCTGACACACACCGGTGATCTTAAAGCAACAGTTCACATTCACATATCTGTCTCTTGCCAGCATTTGCTGGAGTCAAGTGTGAGATTTTGAATTTAAATGTCTCTTCCTTTGCCAATAAGATGTCAACAAGAGATAATATACAAAAGAGAGTGGACACAGTTGGAAAAGGGGGGGAAACAGCTGGAAAAGGGGAAGCTTAGCTTAGAAATTATGGGGTGGTGAGATCCAGTAGATGGGCCTCCTGCCTACTAGTCCTGTGCCCTATATTTCTAGTCCCATCTTGGCCACTGTCATGATGTATGACATGGAGCAAGCCACTTAACTTCTCTGCACCTCACCATCCCCATCTGTAGATGGATGTTCATACCTGCCCAACCTTCTACCAATCTAAGGTATTGTTAGTGAAAGGGTTCTGACACTAAGGTCAAGTCAAAGAGTGTAACATTTTATTTAGAGACTTACAGCTAGATCAGCGAAACCACAGCAAGGAAGGAGTATGCAGTGCTTGCTAAAAACCAGGGGAATGGACTAGACCAATGTTTTTCAAACCGTGGGTCGTGACCCAGTACTGGGTCGCCTTGCTCTAGTCAGCACCGCCGACCGGGATGTTAAAAGTCCCATCAGCAGTGCTACCCAGCTAAGGCAGGCTAGTGCCTACCTTTTCCAACACTGCGCTGCACCCCTTTTCCAACACTGCGCTGCCCTCTAGGCAGGGGAGCCACAGGGCTCCGCGTGCTGCCCCCGCCCCGAGCACTGGCTATACACTCCCATTGGCTGGGAACCGGCCAATGGGAACTGGGGTGGCGGTGCCTGTGGGAGATAGTCGCGCAAAGCCACTTGCATGCCTCTGCCTAGGAGCCGGACCTGCTGCTGGCCGCTTCCGGGGTGCGGCGCGGTATGTGGTGCCAGGACAGGCAGGAAGCCTGCCTCTGCACCCCGGCTGCACTGCTGACTGGGAACCGCCAGAGGTAAGTCCGCGCCCCAATCCCCTGCCGCAGCCCTGAACCCCCCGAAACCTGGAACCGCTTCCTGCACCCCAAACCCCTCATCTCTGGCCCCACCCCAGAGCCTGCACCTCCAGCCCACAGCACTGACCCCCTCCCGTATCCCAACCCCCTGCACCAGCCCAGAGCCCCCTCCCACACCCTGAACCCCTCATTCCCAGCCCCACCGTGCAGCCATCACCCCAACCCTCTGCCCCAGCCCTGAGCCCCTCGACACCCCAAACCCCTCATCCCCAGCTCCGTTGGGTCGTGGGCATCAACAGTTTTCTTCAACTGGGTTCCCAGAAAAAAAAGTTTGAAAACCACTGGGCTAGACTCAAGAGGTTTCTTCCAACCTTGTCACTGGCCAAGCTTGGAGCCCCTGCCATTTGATTAGCACAGCCACAGCTTCAAGCACCTCTGCCATTGTCTTTAGATCAAAAAACTGGTTAATGGCACCCTCCAATGCCTTCTTGCATAACACCTCCCCATTTTCCCAAAAGAGTTTAGCATGCTGATACCCTGATTTATCTCACCGAGAAGAACAAGGAGGGGGAGCATGTACACAGCCCCTGTTATGGGGGTGAAGATGTGAATGGGGCAGCCAGAGCTGTCAAGGGAGAGACTGGGGGACCTGGTATGGAGGCAGGGCAAATTGGGGGAGGGAAAAGATGGTTCACATAGAGCCCTTACCTTGGGGGAGAATAAGGGACCCTATTATGCAGAGAGGAGGAATGGGGGACACAGAACACATGCCATGGGAAGAATGGGGGACTCTAGAATAGGGGCTACACAGAGGCCCTGGCATGGGGAAGAAAGTGGGAATGGAGGGGGAATGGGGCACAGAGCACCCTTGGCAAGGAGAGAGATTAGGTGACCTTGGAATGGGAGAAAAGAAAGGGATGCAGGGCACACACAGAGCCCCTGCCCTGGACCTGTGTGATGTGGGATCTGAACCCTTAAGGATAGTAGAGCCTAAAGGTCATCCCACCCATCCTGTAATGTGTCCCTTTAAGGTTTAGAACAGAAGGGTCTAGGAAAATGACAAAGGCAGGTGTGGGGAGGGGGGCAGTGGTCCTGGGGGAACAGTTTGTGTTTGGAGAAAATCTGTACTGTTATTCCTTTAAGGGGGCAAGACAGCTCCCCTGTCTCCCAAGCAACCAAGAGCCAGCTCTGGGAAAGAGGGCTGTATGTATACATCCTGACTCAGCTCAGACACCAGCAGGAGGAGGCAGTCTACTCGCTGAACCATGGTGGGCTGCTTAGAGACCAGGACCAGCTGAAGGAGCCGCTGGAAAGTCATAGCTGTCCTGAGGTAAGAAAGACGAGCACTGCCTGATGGAAAACCCCAGTCCCAAGGAGGAAGGCTTGGAAGACCCCTGACACGAAAGGGGTGCTTTTGGGGAAAGCTGTATAAACCAAACCCAAGAGATATATTGTATATTGTGTAAAGCTTCTGGAGGCGAGTGGTTTATTTCTGAAAACCCCAGTAGAGGAAATTGAGGAAAATATGTCTGCAGGGCCTTGCTAGGCCAGCAAGAGGCACTACAGAGGAGACATCCCCTCTGACAGATGAGCATGTGGGAATCCTGCAATGGGGGAAACAATGGGATATACAACTCCTTCATGGGGGAACTGGTATGGGCCAAGGGGGTCACACAAAGCACCTAGCACAGGGAGGGAAGGGGTGCGCACACAAAGCTGCTGCCAGTGAGGAAGTTGCGAGGGGCACATGAAATAGAGGGGATGGGAAGGTGGGGCACATGGAGCTGGTGGTTGGGAATGGAAGAATGCAAGGAGCCCCTGGTGCTTGGTCTATAGACGCTATGAAGGGTGAGACAGACTCCCTAGTGTAAGACCCCCTTTACTCCCAGCTGCCAAGTCAGCCATGAAGTTATTGTTAATTAACATCTACTAGCTCTAACACAGTGGTCTCCAACCTTTTTATGCACAAGTTCACTTTTTGAATTTAAGTGCAACCCAGGATCTACCCCACCCCTTCCCCAAAGCCCCGCCCTGCTCACTCCATCCTCCCTCCCTCCATCACTTGCTCTCCCTGACCCTCACTCACTTTCACCAGGCTGGGGTTGGGGTTCGGGAGCAGGCTCTGGGCTGAGGTCGAGGGGTTTCGAGTATGGGAGGGGGCTCCAGGCTGAGCCTGGGGCAGAGGGTTGGGGGTGCAGGAGGGGGTGAGGGTACAAGCTCTGGGAGGGAGTTTGGGTGCAGGAGGGGGCTCCAGGCTGGGGCAGAGTATTGGAGTGCAGGAGGGGGTACAGGTTGCAGGAGGAGGTATGGGGGGCTGGGTCTTGGAGGGGGCCCAGGGCTGGGGTGCGGGCTCCCACCAGGCAGCATATACCTCAGTCAGCTCCCGGTGGCACAGTGGGCCGAAGGCAGGCTCCCTGCCTGCCCCATGCCACTCCTGGAAGGGGCCAACGCACCCCTGCAGCCCGTGGGGGAGAAGCATGTGGCTCTGCGCGCTGCCCCTCTGCAGGCCCCGCCCCAACAGCTCCCATTAGCTGCAGTTCCCCATTCTCGCCCAATGGGAGCTGCGGGGGTGGTGCTTGCAGGCAGAAGCAGCACACAGAGATCCCTGCCCCTACCCCCTGGGCCGCGGGGGCCTGCTGGCCGCTTCCAGGAGAGGCGTGGGGCCAGGGTAGACAGGGAGCCTGCCTTAGTGGCAGCGCAGCAGGGCTTTTACTTTTAGCGGCCGGAGATTACGATCAACTGGGAGAGTCTCCGGGATTGACCAGTCGGCGACTACTACTCTAATACATCCCCTCCGCCCCACCAGGGCTGAACTGTTCCCTAGAGAGCATATCCTCAATCCTGCTATACAGTTGGCTCTGGGAATATTATCACTAGCTACTGGTATTACCAGCCAATTTCCAGCTAGTTAACACTCCCTTTCCCTCCCACAGTTTATTTTATGCAAGTAAAAAAAAGTGTCAGTACACTGTGCTATACAAACATTTAAAACACTGCATGGGTGGGGAGACTTGTGATTTAGCCCTGTCAACACTGGCTAGCCAAATCAAATTAGAAAACCATTCAGTGGGAGCACTGTTGCAAAACAGCCCTGAAATCCAGCAGACATTCTGAATTCCAGTTATGGAAACATTCCTCCTTTGGGCTGTGAGCCAGTTCACCAAAGAGAGCTTAGCAGGACAGGGGAAACAGAATTCCTCTGTCTTCCTTCACATGTGCAGATGCCTTTGCGATGCTTCGCATGTTTGACAGGACTAAAATAAAGTGGACGCATCTCAAATTTTCAGCCACACAATCCAATTTGGGGCACTTAGACTGGGTGGTGAGTGTTCTCTCCCTCCCTCTTTTCTGGGTTACTGGCTGCTGCATTGCTTCTCAATTGAGCCCTAGGGCAGAAAAGCAAAATGTTTATGGAAACCCCCATCCCATGGTTACTCCACAGGTTCTTCTTTTCCTCTTCCTTCCAATTTAATAAAGATTCCATTATACGAACCTCCACAGTGAAAGTCTTACTTCTAAGGTCTCCTAAGGCAGACATGCCTGACACTAAATATGCTATAGCCACTAACTGCTGATGACTGTTAAGTGGCAAAGTGTTCCAGGGTTGGTTCGTTTCTTTAAATAGGCAAAGCACCTACCCTGGGAATAGTGGAAGAAGAGAAATATACAGGGACAACCATCTTTTGACTGCAAATCTAGCTGCAGGTTATAACTAGGGCTGGTTGGGGAGATGGAAGGATACAGAGTGTACACGTGCCTCAGAATAGCCATTAGCCTGACAGTGAGAGCACTCACCTAGGAGGTGAGACTCTGGTTCAAATTATTGGGCGAGTCTTGGTCTCTCATTTTTTCACAAAATCATTCAATAGGTTTTCATTCCATACTGGAACAAAGACAAATATTGAAACCTTGAAGTGTTTCATGAAACAAGTCTTATTTTCTGGCCAGCCTTAGTTATAACAGCATTTACACTGTTACAGTCCCTTCCCTCAAGGATCTCAAAAAGTGTTCAAACATTAATGATTTAAGACTCAGCATTTCTGTGACAGTTAAGCAGTATTATCCTCATTTTACTGATGGGCAAAAAACATAGGTTTCCTGCTTCCCAGTACACTGGGAATAAATTATATAATTGCTAGTTCTTATATAGCACTTATCAGCACATCTCAAAGCACTTTACAAGGGAAGTCAGTATCATTAGCCCCATTTTACAGATGGAGAAACAGAGGCACAGAGGAAGCGACTAGCCCAAGGTCTCCCAGGGGGTCAGTCAGTGTCTGGAGACTTGGTTTCTAGTCTTGGCTCTGAGTCCCCGTTCAGCACCCTATCCACTAGATCCTGCTGCCTCCCTCAACACATAACTATACGAGCATATGATTTGCTATACAGAATCAAATGATTGCTGCATCAAATTAGATATCCTGACATCTTTGTCCATCCACCCCTCCCTAGCCACCAAGCAATGAAAAATACCCAGTTCTTTAGAGGAAACCTAAGCACCCCATAAGGCAGTTTGCCAATGGTACCAAGAGGGGAAAAAAATCCTTCCTGATGTGATCAGCTTACAGGGATAGTCTATTTTTTTGTCAAGGTCCAAATTTCTTGGTCAATGTATAATCAAGATCGAGACTTCAGAGAAAATAAAAAACAACATAACAAGTAAATAAAAAGATTTCAGGGTCCATTCAAAAGCATCTGGCGGTCCAGATTTGGCCCTAAGTCCATCTATTGACTACTCCGGCTTACAGTCTGAAACATGAGCGTTACTCGACACTGCTTTAGCATACACCAATGCAAATCTTACTTGTGAGAGTTGCCCCACCCTTCTCAATATCTAGCCACAGTTTTGACCCTATGGCCTCTACAGTATTTATAGAGCACATATCTTTATTGTATCTAAGGTGCCCTTCTCTGAAGCTTTTCAATCCCAGCTACATTTCCTGAAGATGACCTGCAGGGATATGGCAAGGGAAACATACTTTATGCTTTATAAAAGAAGCCTGAGATTTTTTTTTTTTAATTTTTTTTTTTAAACCAATTTCCCCCCTGACTTTTACACATTAGGAATTAATGCCCTGTCTAGGCTAGAAGATACTGTGACGACAAGAGAACAAATGAAGTGACAGGAACCCAATAAGTGAAAGTTAAGCCTTTAAGAGGGGAAGGTCTTAGTTAAGACTGTTTAAAACTGTCTTGTCCGTTTGTTTATACCTATTTAACTTCAACCAATTAACATTCTGAATAAGCCTTTGTTAAAGACTCAACACCCTCCTCCCCCACTTCAATTAAGGTATTAAGAGCTCACAAACATTCCTCATACCAGCCAGTGATCCTCCAAAGCAGCTAGGGAAGACCCAAATTAATATTCTCGATATTTCTAAGGTGAAAAACTAGAAGAAAAGCTTTAAAAAAACAACAACAACCTCTTTTCAGACTGTCTCTCTCCACATTATAAAGAACAAAAAAAGGGTACAAGAGCAGATCTCTCTAAAGCCATTTGCAGGTCAGCTCTAAAGCCAGACTATTTTCAATTTTTAACACATCCAAATTTTCTAGTTGCTTTAACTGTTATTGCAAAAGGGAGAGATTTCTTCACATATCAACAGTGACTCTTAAGTAGAGAAGAATAAATGCTACAGAGTCAGTGAATTCACTCAAAATTTTGAACACTTTCTTTTGACTGTGTTCACTGGTCTTGACTATTTTAACAACTGAGTTTACTGGGGGGGAAAAGTCTTCATTGAAAGAGCCAATGCTAAGGAATTATTAGTAAAAAGTGATTGTTGAGTTTGATTACCAGTATTTGCATAGCATCATTACTTGCCATTTCATTAACTTTTTCAATAAGCTATAAACATCTAGCAGTGGCACTATTCCTGTTAAAGCAGTCTGCTGCAGAACACTGAGGTCATTAGCCTAAATTCCAAAGGATACTGAATTGCCTCTGGTTTCAGACCTGCAGCGGAGGGCCTGCATTTCTGCACACAAAGGTTCTGAACGTGTGCATTAGGAGCAGGAATATTGCCCAAAAAAAAAAAAAAAACCACCTCAGAGAGAACTCGTGAAGCATTACAGTTCGCAGACCATTTCGAAATTCTCAGATGGAAAACACTACTGAATACAAGCAAGTTTTGTTTCCAATCAAGGACCCCAAACCCACTCTTCCAGGCCTGAAAACAGTGACAACTCCTGATCCATACAGACCCTAAACCCCACACGAGGAAACAAGGGGGGAGCCCAACTGATATTAACAAAAACAGCAAGGATCTTTAGACAAAGGAGACCACGGCTCCGGGGTAGCAGAAGAGCTAGTAGCTCCCAGATGGCACCTGGGAGAAAAGCTGGCAATACCCCCACCCTGGGCAAAGAAGTCCATTATTAGAGCGAGTGAGGCTCAGCCCCGGGTGGAAGCGGAGGGGCCACACGGCAGCTGCAGGCAGATCGCCCCCCACCCACTCCCTGAGTGCAGTGAAACGGGGGAGGGGCGAACCTCTCCTCCGGCACAAGGCCAAGCCCGGCGCTCACCTCCCTTTGTAGGCGCTGAGAAGCTTCCCACCGACTCCTTCCACGTCAACGCAGCTCACCTGCCAGCATCTCCAGGCCAGCTACAGGAAGTCACGTGATCCCGCCTCTTCCGAGGGGGGAGGCCGCCCGCGCCTCGCTAGTGCATGCTGGGAGTTGTAGTCCTTGTCCAGCTCAATCGCTCTCCCACCGGCTGAGTTCCCCCCGCACTCGGGCAATAGCGTAGCGGTCACGCTAGCGAGTTGCCGCGCTGCCTGCGAGCTGTGGCGGCTGCTGCATCCTCTTCCCAGTGCCACTCCCACGTCCCGCACCGTGCACACCCGTCAGACGTCAAGAATTATAACATTCAAAAACCAGCCGGAGAACACTTGAAGCTCCCATGTCACTCGATTACAGATCTCAAAGTCGCAATACTCCAACTAAAAAACTTCAAAACCAGACTCCAACGAGAAACGGCTGAATTGGAATTAATTTGCAAACTGGACATCATTAAATTAGGCTTGAATAAAGACTGGGAGTGGATGGGTCATTACACAAAGTAAAACTATTTCCCCATGTTAATATTCCCCCTACTGTTACTTACACCTTCTTGTCAACTGTTGGAAATATGCCATCCTGATTATCACTACAAAAGGGTTTTTTCCTCCTGCTGATAATAGCTCACCTTAACGGAGCACTCTCCTTATAATTGGTATGGCAACACCCATTCTTTCATGTCCTCTGTGTATCTTCCTACTGTATTTTCCACTGCATGCATCCGATGAAGTGGGTTTTAGCCCACGAAAACTTATGCTCAAATAAATTTGTTAGTCTCTAAGGTGCCACAAGGACTCCTTGTTCTTTTTGCTGATACAGACTAACACGGCTGCCACTCTGAAACCTGTCACCCATGGGACTGTTATTTTTAGTCCTTCTCCTAACACCGGACCCCTGCGGAGCTTTTTAGGAAGCGGGGGCAGGTTTTGGGGGTCCCCCCAAAGGGCTTACACAGGGTAAGGGAGAGACGATAAAACCCCAGGACCACTGTAGACTGGGAGGGCTGCTAGCTGGACAAACTTCCGGGGACACGTTCAAGGGATACCCAGTTAATGTGACGCAATAACTATTGCCGCGGCAGGTCTGCGCACATTTGCGTCCCAGCTGGCAGCTGTGGGGGGAGGGGGGAAGCCCCAAGCCAGATAATGACGTCATGTGAGAGACAACTTCAGGGCCAGGCACCGCAGAAACAGCTAGTCAAGTAACAACGTGCGCCCCTGGCAGCCCCAGCAAGCCCGTTCCCAGGCACAGGGGAAGCCCGGGTTCCCATTCTGCACCATCAACCCCCGGCGCCCTTCTGCTGCTCAGCACTTCCCGCCGGGTCTACGTGCGACCCGGAGTTTTCCTCTTTTACCGTGGCCCCTCTTGTAATAAACACACCACCCCAGCGACCCTCTGAGCTAATGATTTCATTGACCCCTCCCACGTGCCACGCGGAGACACCCTGGCTATTTAAGAAGACTCTGATGCATTCTGGAGGGAGATAAGAGATCTCCAATGGAAGCAAATAGGGGCTGTTTTATGAGCATTTACTGAGCTCATTTCCAATTATTCTTCCCGTAGTCCGCAAAGAAATATTCCGGGGGAGGGGGAGACTGGGCAGGGGTCCTGCTTCCACACTGGGTTGCTAGCTACCACTGCTCTGGGGCACTTAGCACGTTTCTAAGGGAGCGTTAGGGGGTGGCTAGAGACGCGGCATTAAGTGGCTCTCCCTGTCTCCGAACTACGTTTCCCAGCAGCCAGTGAGAAAAAGGCCAGAAGGGGCGGGCGAGGGTACAAAGAGAGCTAGCGATACCTGTTCACACAGGTACGAGAAAGGGGTGAATAACAGGTGAGTAAACCTAGGCGGGGGAAGGGAGGCGCGGCACGGCCCATTTGGCTTGGGCGCTTGTGGCTGCGTGAGGCTCAATGCCTCGGTAACTCTCAGCCGCGCTTGGTCCCCTTGGAGAAGGCAGAGCGGCCGGCCGGCGCTAACGCCGTGTAGAAGTTGTGAAAGAAAACAAGCTAAGATGGACTCAATTCAATGGGGGAAAGGGTACAGGGAAGACACGTGGCTTCAGCACACTCTGATTTGGAGGTGAAGCTGCGCCTTCCGGAAAGAGTGTGGGGTTGGTTTCTTTTTCTTTCTTTCTTTGTGTTTAAGCCACTTTGCAATACAGCGGGAGGGGAGGCCAGGCGAGTGTTTTTTCGCTTGTCTACAAGGGCACGCAGCTCTAATTAAACTCTCCCCCAAAGTGACTCCCGAAAGAGGAGGCAGAAGCCTTTGGCGGGGAGCAGAGGGAGAGGGAAAGGCTGCTCATCCGCAAGGCGGCTCCTTGCTCAGGGGGAGAGGAGTGGCCCTCAGGTGCCAGCGGCTCTGCATCTGCCCGCTGCCCAAGCGCTCTGCGGCTTATATGACCTGTGTGGGAGGCCGCACGCAGCAATTCTCGCCCCACGTGCAACACGGGTGGCCATGCTCCGGGGCTTTGAATGCCGTCTCTGTTCTCTCACCCAGGGGGGAGAGGCTGAGCTAAGGGGGGGAGGAGGATGATGCCCTTCTCCAGCTCCGGGTCGGAGGAAGCCTTCGACTACTTGTTCAAGATCATCCTGATCGGAGACTCCAACGTGGGGAAGACCTGCGTGGTGCACCGCTTCAAGTCGGGGCAGTACCACGAGAAGCAGCAGAACACCATCGGGGTGGACTTCACCGTGCGCTCGCTGGAGATCGATGGCAAGAAGGTGAAGGTTAGTGGCTGTCGCAGGCTCGGTGGTGACCCAGAGCAGGGGACAGTAACAGTTAGGACTAAACATCCTGATCAGCACTGGGGGGAGGGGGGCAGGGAGGAGACGAGTCCTCCCTCTGCTCATGTGCCCTGCGCGGGACAAACTAGCTGCCTGCACCCGAGGATGAGGAGGAAGAAATAGGTTGCAATGACTAGGAAACTGAGCGATGTTGCAGCCGGCGGTCGAGCTGCGCTGTGCTGCAAGGGTTCCCCGCGCACCTGCCCGAAACTTACCTGCAACAAGCCCTGCCTGTTGTTCCAGCCCTGGGCAAAGCTGAGTGCACGCTGCCTCTTGAACCCACGGGTGGGCTCCTCTTGTGATGAGAAGATACCCCCTCTGGAGGGCTACAGCTCGAATACTGCTTATGCCCTCTGAGCCAGGTCACAGCAAGTGAGTGCTAACTTGCAGGAGGGGTGAGCCATCCCTGTTCCTGTCAACCCCCAGAGATGGGGGAAACTCTGTCTCCTAGTTCAAGCACAGGCTACACGTGGGTTTTGTTCCCATCTCTGCCCAGATTTCCCCTTGGCCTCCAAATTGCTCATTATGCCTTGTGTGCCTCGTAAAATGAGCTGGACTCATCCCTAGTAATTCTGCTGAAGACCAGGGAAGAACTTGCCCCCATAGATGTAAATATAGTATTGTAGTGTGCTCCAAAGGAACAGCAGGGTAAAACCTGAGTGCTGTCTGTCTGCATTATTTGTGCATGTATTTTGACTTGTATGTACATTTAAAAAAAATTATAATCTTGAGGATTAACCCCTGATGGAAATAGATGAGCTATTTGAAGGCTGGTTTGGGTGTGGGCCTCTCCCCCTAACCTCTGTGGTGAAGAGGATAGCACTCTAGAAGCTGAATCCAGTGATCAAGTTGGGAGACATGAACTTGGGTCTTTGCTGTCCCCAAGATCTGCAATTCCTTGAATGGCAGCGCACTCAACTCTGAGGAAAGCTGAAGAACTGGGATACTGTGGTGATTGGCACAATAGAAAAACTTAGCTAGCGCTTATTTTGAGCTTCCTCCCAGCTCAGCCCCGAGTATTTGGCTATAGAATAGACTGATAGATTTCATCCTTTTCCATACCTTAGTTGCACAAGATACTGTCTCTTTTCTTCCCTCCCACTCCTAAGGACACAACATGTTCGCCCTTCCATAATACAGTTACAAACCAGTTAGGGAAAATAATTCCTCCAGAATAATGTCCAAGCCACATTATAGCATGGTTTGGTTCTGTCTGCATAGACCAGCCTGAATTGTGTTATAACCAAGGTGCAGCATGGTTATCACATAGTTGGTCACATCTACACAGGCAAAACCAAACCATCTTGGCAGTAGATTCACTAAAGTGGTTGTAGCCTTAGGCTATGTCTACACTCCCACATATATCAGCAAAACTTATGTCTCTCAGGGTGTAAATAAGTCAGCGCCCTGAGTGACCCAAGTTACACTGACCTAAGCGCCGGTGTGCGCAGCACTATGTTGGCAGGAGAGCTTCTCCCACCGACATAACTGCTGCTATTCATTGGGGGTGGATTAATTAAGTCGACGGGAGAGAGCTCTCCCATCGGCCTAGAGCATCTGCACTACAGAGCTTACAGCGGCGTAGCTGCATCGGTGGAGCTGCGCTGCTATAAGATATCTAGGGTAGCCATACCCTGAGGCTACGTCTTCACTACGGGGGGGGGTCAATTTAAGATACGCAAATTCAGCTACGCGAATAGCGTAGCTGAATTCGACGTATCGCAGCCGACTTACCCCGCTGTGAGGACGGCGGCAAAATCGACCTCCGCGGCTTCCCGTCGACGGCTCTTACTCTCACCTTTGCTGGTGGAGTAAGAGCGTCGATTCGGGGATCGATTGTCGCGTCCTGACGGGACGCGATAAATCGATCCCCGAGAGGTCGATTTCTACCCGCCGATTCAGGCGGGTAGTGTAGACCTGCCCTGAGTGTAGATAAGGCCTAGTAGTATTGAATATCATAAATTCCAGTGTCAAGTATCAGAGGGTAGCCGTGTTAGTCTGTATCCACAAAAACAACGAGTCTGGTGGCACCTTAAATTCCAGTGCAAACTCTGAAGTGGCATTCACTAGACTTCACTGGCATTACTTCTCTTTTTTTCTCCTCCTGCAGATCCAGGTGTGGGACACAGCGGGCCAGGAGCGCTTCCGGACGATAACTCAGAGTTACTATCGCAGTGCCCATGGTGCCATCCTTGCCTATGACCTTACCAGGAGGTCCACATTTGAATCTATTCCTCATTGGATTAATGAAATTGAAAAATATGGAGCTGCTAACTTAGTCCTGATGTTAATTGGTAAGTCAAACTTTTTTTCTATTTTAGTTTATTTTTGATGCATAGCCTTAACCTCCCTCCCTTCCCCACACTTCATCTCAGGCTCTAGTTACATGAATTTTTCAAAATACAGAGAACAGAATGAGCGTAGTAACTTGAGCTATATTTTTTGAAAGAAAATGTCCCATTCCTGTCTATACAGCAGAACCAAGCAATATCAAGTATTCATATCCTATTCCTTGTTTTTGCCCCATTATAATGGAAAAAGCTTACTGCAACTCTCTTGAGGTCACCGGATATGGGCCCACTTTCAGAAATGATGAATTTGGCCCAATGGTTCCAATACGCACGAGCATAACAAGTTGTCAATGGGCAAAAATGCACCCATCTCAAACCTCTCTTTGATATTCCATATGTTTGCCTTCTTGTGTCCGTTCTACTGACGTGCACTTGCTTCTACTGCCCAGGGGGGCTGATCCTAAGTGGAAACAGGTTGGCAATGGGGACCCTCTTCCAGAGCAGGAAGGCTGCTGCCTGTGTCTCCCCGTTTCTTTCCTCACAGACAAGGAGAGTGGTTGATGGGAAGCAGGGTTATTCCTCCCTTCCCTCCCTCCTGCAATCAGAAGTTGAAGTTATTGCTGCTCTTAGCCACAGAAAAGAGGGTTGAGCTGGCAAAGTGAGAGAGCCTGCCGCTTTTGCCTGTTCTGTTATCAGCACTGTGCTGAGAGCAGCATATTTATACAAGCTGCAGAACAACAATCTGACTTGGCCCCATAGCTGGACCCCCAAGCCTGGTAGCTGTGGGATCTGAGCCCGTGCTAACACACACACTTTAAAATACTATACTCCTATATATGAAGAATTAGGTAAGTCCTTCCTAGTACTCTTCTGAAGACGTGACATGAAAAACAAGTTCTGACTTGCATGGAGTTGTAGATCTTAGTGTGAACAAGGGAATAGGCATCACTTGAACTCTATAGCCCTTAGTCTGTTTATTTCTTTCCTGAAATGGAAACACAATCTATTATGCCCAACAAACAAATGAAGAAAGCCCTAAACTCTTTAGAAAATGTCCAATATAGATTTAGTGACTCAGAATAAAACATTGACTGTATTTGAAAGGTTGGTACTGCTTAGCTTTTACTTGCTACTCAAACTGTGTACTGAATCTTTCCCATCTATTCAGTTATATATTAATTCATTCTGGTGTAAATTTCTAATGCAAAATAATTTGATTCCTACCCTTTAACATTTGAAATGGGTGGGGAGGGGGACAGAGAGGAGACATGTAAGAAAATAAACAAATACACTATCAAGCTGGGGTGTAGGTTTTTTTATAAAGCCCCTCTACAAAAAGATTGACTCCTGACAGTATACATTTTGAATTTCTTGAAAAGACAAGTTTCAACATCCTTGAGCAATTTGAAAGTTATCACTAGTAGAATATCGTACATGCCAGGAGAATATGGAAGTTCAGGCAGGGGAAGAAAATATCTTTTATAAGATGGATATGCAACTTTATAACCATTAAAACACACATTATATATAAAAATAAATTAAATAGCCTTAAATCAAACTCTAATTTCTCAAGCAGTGTTTTTCCTACTTTGATTTCTATTATCAATGGAAATATTTTTCATTGGTTTGTGTGTGTACAGTGAAATTGATGTTTAATGACACTATTATTAGCTAGAGGTGCCTTCTGGTTTTGTACTAGATTTTGATTTATACTGATTGACTGTATAACAGTTCTATTTGCATATGCAAAGTTGCTGCTTATTTATATTTAAATTGTAGCCTATATAAAGCTGGCCAACAGTGATAGGTTCGTGTACCTTCTGACTTTACCCCAAAACTCCTTAATTGTAATACTGGATCTTAATATCCAAAGCTGGGAAGGTATTCCCTTACCATAGGCTGAGGCTATAAATGTTTCTATTTTCCCCTAGGAGACCTGAATTAGTCCAGCAATATCCGAGTATTGGTGTTGGGATCTCAGCATCCACCTAAAGATATAGGCCAAATTAATTTGGTAGTACCAGAATATATATGGCTTCCATTAATGGTTTTCTGAATGGATATTTGATACTGGTGAGAAAATTAACAGATATTTGGAACATATGGAGACATGTTTTATAAGGAGCTATATTGTGCACAAGGTCCTCTTGGCATTTTGTGTGTGATCCCTTTAACAGCTAACCTACCTAGAAAGAAAAAATAGCCACATTATAAATAACACCTGTATTGAACTGAATTCTCTAACTCAGCAAAACCTCTAAGAAGTTACAAAGTGGTAGGTGAATCTAATTCTTTCCAAGTCAGTGCTCCTGCACCATTTCCCTACAGCAAGTCTAGGAGCAAGAAAATGTATTAACAATTTGCAGCATGAATTTGGTAACCTTTCACCACAGGCCCCAAAAAGTTGCTGTAGTTTCCATGCATGAAACTTTCTTGGTTTTAGTGTTCTGCTCCCTAGAAATCTTGTTTGGCATAATTTTATTCCTTGGCACAAAATCCCTTTAAAAATAAATAATAAAAAAAATTGGGGAAACTAACCAATTGCATTGTTTGCATTCATACATTAGAATGCAGACCATTAATGGAAGCCTTTTTTTATTTAAAGGGAACAAATCAGATGTAGCGGAGAACCGCCAAGTCCTTTTTGAAGATGCCTGTACACTGGCAGAGAAGCATGGGCTATTGGCTGTGTTGGAGACTTCAGCCAAAGAGGCCCAGAATGTAGATGAGGTGTTTACATTGATGGCAAAGGAGCTGATAGCCCGCAACACCTTGCAGCTTCATGGAGGGCATCCTCCAAACAGCATCTATCTGGACTCCAGGCCGGTGATTGTTAGTCCAAGTGTAGAGAAGTCCCAGTGCTCTTGCTGATGAGATGTCTCAATCATAAGAGCTGTGAAGGTGTGGCTGATGATTTCATACGTTTCCTGTTTGGCCTCAAACCATCATTCTAATGTATCACTGCCTTGCTGTTTTGACCTGTAACTCTCTCCAGGAGATAGATGTTGCAATGGTCAAAAGTGCTGGATTGCCTTGAACATGGCAGCTGTTGGTACTTAAGCAAAGACTTTGAGCTGAGAGGAGAAGACTAGGCGCTGCTAGCCTGAAAAGAACTGTGAAGACTTACTCCTAAATGGAAGCAACTGCCTTTGGATAAACTCTCTGAATAGAATCTTCTGGCTGTGCCAGAGGCTGACTGTAACCAGGTTTTGTGCTGAATGTTTCCTTTAGGTCAGGATACACAACCTGCTGTAGGTCAAATTCTTTGGTCTTCATAAATAGCTTTACAATGTGTGACACGTGTACTTAAACTTTTTTGTTCATGGCTGTTTGGCTTGCATTACTCCAGTGTTCAGATCTCCATTCAGGGAGATGCTGATGGCAGATCTGTTGCAGTTACCACGCCATAACTTACTACTGGTATTGTGATCAAGTAGACAATGCTGCCACATCTATCTTCCTCCCTTTGCCAGACAACTTAGCTTCCATCCCTATTGCTTGCATAGCAGCCAGAACAATCTGACTGGTATGCCAGTGGGCCTAGGGGTACCCCCAGGACTTTTTCCCAACTTCAATGGGTGAGAACTGCCTTCAGTCTTCTTCTTTGGTCTTTCTGCTGACACTGACTGGTACCAGGGCCACATTTTGGTAGTTGCTGTTGTGATCTAGACTCTCTAGTGAAGCCCCTTCCAAGCCAATAGTAATGGCCAGAATTCAAATGAGAGATGAAAGACTCCCTATTATTTCTTACTAATCCCTTGCTTAAACTGAAGGGATGATTTTTAGTCAAAAGCCTATCTAAAACAGTTGCTGTTCAGGTTGTGGAAATGACACCATAGTTTAGTCTTAGAATTCAAAGATAGCTTTCAGGCTTCTGTACAACTGCTTAGACAGGTAGAATGGCTCACTAAGTACCAGTAATTGATTTTCAGTAATGAAACAGGATGGGGATGCCCTTAGTACTGCTATTGGGTTGCATTTTTCAGTAAGACATTGGCCACCAAAAGCTGGCCCCAATACTGGTTTCAATCAAACTTTTGTATTGTGAAGCTTATCTTCAGCAAGGGGGTGTGTTTTTCCTGTCACGACCTTTCAAAAGTATTCTCTGCAAACCCAGAATTTCTTCACTGCTTTGGGAGATTTCTAATGAGAAATTCGAGGGGAGAGCTGCTAAAATGGGCAGTTGTGTTAACAAAGTGGACACATTTCTACCATTCCTGACAAAAGCTTCTGCTTGCATAGGTCTCCTACTCAGTTTATTGGAAGGCTCCAGGAAACTGTTCCTTTAACTCCATAATATCAAACTAGTGGTTGGGGGAGGTGAGACAATACCAGTTTAACCCTTTCTGAGGAGATTGCCTGAGGGATACTCAAAGCATAGCCCTAAAAAACCTTGGCTGTGTCCCTCTGTACTCTACTCAAATGCCTCTTTAGTTATGCTGTCACTGGTGAATTACAAGCTAGAATTCCCACTTTATTACAATAAAATACAGACCTGGTCATAATGCACAGGAGTCCTAGAAGTAGGTGTGGTAGATTTGGTAAACTGCCTTTGGTATCTTAAGGTTCACATTTTCTTCTCTGCTTTTGAATAACAGGTGGCAGAATCTCTCCTTTGTGCTTGATCAGACAAGGCTTTTCATAAAGACTGTTAAATATTGACTTTTAGATTGAAGGCTTGTGATTTGTTGGGCATATATTTAAACACAATGAAACTTCCTCTGGCCCAGTTTCTTCTCGGGTCTGTTAACATTAGGCACGTTAACAGCTATGTTTATCTGCCATGCTGTTCTACGAACTAAGAGCTGAAGTAATGGGGGATTCCTACTACTGGCTACAGAGAAAGCACTCACATTTACCACCTGCTATTTAGCCTACATTTACCTTGTCAGCCCAATACTTGTCTGCATACTTCTATGCCCCCTGGCTGGATAGACCTAATGGAAAGTTATAGCCTATGTTGGTTGTCAGTTAGTTACACGAAACATGCTCCTTCAATCAGTCTATCCAGCCCCTTTAGTCACTTATTCCTCTTTACCATTCCCTCCTATTTAACTTCTTGGTGACTAGGGGCCTAGGATCAAATGCAGACTTAGTTGAACAGAGAGGTAGTGCTGCTCCCTCTGCTGTAATGTGGCATTTTAACCATGGCTTTGGAGCTGTGCTCAGCTCCAGCTCCAGGCAAAAACCTGCAGCTCTGCTGCTCTGGGCTCTGCTCCAAAGCCCTGGTTTTAACAATCCAAAAATCACTTGAGTTTTTTGGGCTGGTACAGTGATCGATGCTTGCTCATCTGACATTACTTAACAGTGTAAAGGCAGGGGCTGGAGGTGGGTGTCTTTTGTTTTTTAATTTTTTCTTTAATTAAAGCATTCCCCCATGCTCTGCATGCAAACCAAGTCCCACTTATGTGAGAATCCACTTATATCATCCCTGCTTGAAAGCAACTTTCCCTCCTAAAACAGCCTTAAAAAAATAAAAACAACCAAAAACCATTTACCCTTGTGCACGTTAGCCGGCCTCTTTGTTTAGATAGCCAAGACTGATGAGCCAGTCCACGAAAGTTACTATGAGTAGCCTTTCCTAATACTTCTCGTGCTGATAGAGTGGCTGGAGCCTGGGTACCTACCACCAAAGGCTGCAGGACTGTTAGAGAAGCCCCTCAATGCTTGTCAGTCCAGTTGCTAGGTTAGTTACATGTCCCTGCATACCTCCAGCACTACTGGACCTACTGTGACTTCCCCAACCTGATATTCCACTAACCAGTAATTGTCCAGTGTAGGTAGCTTCCCCAGGGCTAGTGCTACTCGCTTTGCCTGAGGCAATAAAGCTGTCAAGGGTGGTCTCTCTTCTCATCAAGAGGTTCTGCAGCATTGTTCCATGCACCATGTGAAGAACACTCACTGGTCTGCAGGTGTTGCTTCACCTGGCACAGGTCCCCTTCCCTCTACCTTGTAGAGGAGGGAGCAGAGCCTTTTTGCATGAAGTGAGTGCATGCCAACTCTTGCTGGGGGACTCTTGGCAAGCCTTCAGTAGCTCAAGCAGATAATCCTGCCACTGAGGATTCAGCTTAGCCTCTATTTTGGGATGATATTAAGGAAAAGGCTACTCTTCCCTGGGACTTCTAGGAGTTTAATCCCATCTCCCACAATTCCACTGAACCCCTACTCATCGGCTCCCTTTTGAAATCTCTCCCAAGCCCTTGAATAAAGTAATCATGCTGGGTCAGAGCCCAAGGGGCAATGTGTTTAACGCTACATTGCTGTGTGTGAATGCACAGAAAAGTGCAATAGGATTGCTAATGCACAAGCACTAGTATCCTGGGCAATATTAATGATTACAGAGTATTTTCCAGTGTAAATTAAGCAATAACAGTGAGAAACTTTATTGAAAATGGAAGCTTAGATTCTGGGACACAAAATGGCAGGCACCAGAAAAAAAATACCTATCTGCCAAATTAGAACTTAACTCTATTTAGCATGTGTCTCCCTAAAAAACACATGGGTATATAGCCTGGGCCAAGACAACATGATTTTTCTTTTAAACTGCTCTAGGAGTCTTTGTATTTGTTCCACTTCCCACTCCTACATCTGTAAATGTATTGTGTTTAACATCTCCATTAACAAGCGGGTAGAAAGTGAGGCTAGATATTCATAGTGCCATTTCACAAGCTTGCTGGTATTTCATGTCCTCCAGTTAAAAGCCCTCTTAGCTACTGAAAAGATGGACAGAGCCTAATTTTGCTAAAAACCACCTTTAAAATCCCATAAAACTATTTTCAAATGGCTGTTACACTCACTAACATCAGACCTTTACACTGGTGTCAGCTGAGACTGTTTGAGACAAGCCTATGGTTATCAGTGGTGTCCGTAACAGGTCAACTGCAGTATGGCCAAGCCTGAGCATTTAAAAGTGAGTCAGGGCCTCAAAATATCATGATTGGCTTAAAAGCCACAAGTATTAAATGTGGGGGTTTTTTACTTGCCTTTTGAATGTTTAGGGTACGCTTATGTTTTCAAGATTTTTTTTTTTCCACAACGATGAGGGACAGAACTTATTTTGAGGTGGGATTTATAATGAAAGTTGAGAGTCTCATGTAATCTCTGTAGGAACTGGTTACACCTGTAGCATAGAGCATCATCGATCTTGAAATTTTCATTACAAACAGGTTAGGCCACCAAAAACCAGTTCTATATAACTGCTCTGTTTTAACTGAACTGGTTTAAAACTAGGTAAAAAGTTTCCCTTAGGAGAGCCTAAGGGTACATTTTTTCAAAGGCACTTAAGTGAGTTAGACTCTTAATTCCCTTTTCAAAAGGAATTTAGGAGCCTAAATCTCACTGGAAGTCTTTAATCTTACGCTACTAGGCAGTAATATGGTTTTTCTAAAACACGGTAGAAAGAGAGTAAACACTACCTCTAATGAGATTTAAAATAGCAATATTGACCACTTCCTGGAAGAAGTGTTTACAAGGTAGCTCTAGTTAAGGTTGTACTACATTATACCTGCCTGCATCAACGTTGTCTGTAGTATGAAACTGAACCATTATTGACTGGACACCGAACCCAGATCGACTGCAAAGGACAAGCTATGTTCAGCAAGCAAAGGCTCTAGTGACTGCATTGTCAATTTTATTTAATTAAATCAGTGGGGGGGGGGGTTAAATTTAAATATAGCTGCCATATAATTTCATTTGCCACACCAAACGTGTCAAAAAAAAAATCTAGGGACCTTGGCCCAGAATTAAGATTAGTTTACTGCAGAGTATTCCGGGAATTGAGCGTGATTCAGCTCATGTTCACACACAAGCTGTGCCATCCCTGTTGCAATTTTACTTGCTTGGAAGAAGATTCACCACAATTATGTACATGCTTGAGGTCACTACACCATTCTAATGCAATTAGACTGAAAGAACGGGCATTGCAGTTGCACGGTTGCAAGTGGTCATTACAGCACAATCCCACACGGCTCCAGCAATCTCTGGAGTCACTACTCTTTGCTTAACTCCAATTCTGATGATTTTTCCAGGTTTGAGCTATTGCAGTGCTGGTCATTGTATGTATGCATTGCTACTTATAAAAGAAAACTCATGCCCATTTAAGGATTATTGCTTAAAAAGAAAAGGATATTGCTATGCAGTATCCTTTCATTTTACAAAATGCATGATATGTTAACATGTTAAAATG